ATTCGTTGAAATTTTAGGCAACAATTACACTATTTCAAAAAGGGATGGCTTGAGTTCCATACAAACTCAAGCATCACACCCATCCAAATGAATTAAGAGAGGACTTTTCTCCAGTATCTTTTATTTTTTGCTAGTCAAATTCTGAGTCGTGTCTCAAGAGTACGAATATATAAAGTTTGTCAAAGTCCGAAGATTGCGGTGCTTTGACTTCAGATTGTAGATTGTTCACTTCTGGGAGACGGATTCTTACCTAACTACAAGCACAAGAGTAGGGCAAAATTTTATCTTTAGGCCATTGCACCGTTTTTTACTTTCTCTTTAATTGTTTAATTATATCAAGGTCCATTGTGCACACTATCTTCGGTTTGTACATATTCTTCGTTGCTTAATGAATATCGTACTTTCCTTCAAATTTTTTTTTATTTAATTATATAAATCTGGTACACAATTAATGTTGTGAGTTTTTATAATTATTGTTATTGTTAGAATACTTTTATTATTTTTATATTTTCTATTATCGCTCCAACAAGTAATTGTGTATATTGCTTTGTAATATTTTCTTAAGACTTTATAATGACTTTTCCAACTAATACCATTCTGTCTAATTAATTTATTCAACCGCCAGATGCATTCTCTCACATATTAATCTTACCATTTGAACAAACAGTTCGTTCCCAGGCAAATCTTGATTCATGGATAACGATATATATTATTTAAAATCTACACAGCTGGTGCTAAATGAATGAGGAACATCCATATATCGAATAATCAAATTGATTAAAATAAAATATTCACAACTAATGAAAATTATCCCAACTAAGCCATCATCTAGTACGGGGACAATCTTATGTTTTCTTGATGTGGCCGTATGGTTGGTACAACATACAGCACATACTAAAATCAGTATAGATAGTAGTAATGCAGGATTCTTCTAACATCTACCAATCGATAAATACCAGCTAAGGAATAGAAGCATGAATATGAAAGCTTCCATAAACATAAAGAAAATCAGTTGGTATTTATTAAAACAAGTCTTTGTTCATGAGCTTGGACAAAATAGATAACTCATATTTTATAAAGATCACACAAACTTTAACGTCATATTCTATATTTCGAACAATAATGTCACCTAGGCACACAGAAAGAATATTCAACTATAATCGAGGCCAAGTAATTCTATTCATTTTTATAATTTACGTGTTGACGTGATTATTTGGGTGATTAGAAAGGACATTGATCATAGACCCATTGTGAACGGCACACCGGTGGTGGGCAACCACGACCAACCAGCAATAAGGCTACCGGCGGTGAACATAGGACGCCACATTTGGACTAGTGATGGCATGAAAACCAGGCCACTTCACTCTATACCTAGTACAAGAGCCAGGTCCAAAGTTCTGATACTCCCCATAATACAAAGTACTAAGGGCAAAATTACTTCTTTGCCATCGCAGCCAGCCCGCTGGATTTACCAAATTGTCCAGATAACATTTCATAAAGACAACCCTAGAGTACTGCATCCACGGCCGCCCCAAATATGTTTTGTAAGAACTGGCCACGGGCTTTAGGTCAGCGGCTGCCCGTACCTGAGAATTGTGGATCGAAATTGCTGTGTTTTGAAACGGGTCGTTTCGACCTTGTGCCGTGATGACGTTGACTTGACCCCACAATGGCTTTCTCACATATATCATGCAATTTTGGAAAACTGCAGCTGCGTTACCAAATATGAAGTCTATGGTGCCAAAGATGTAGCATTCTCTGTAGAACTGGCGCTGGGAGTGGACCATGAGGGTGTCTTGGTAGCCCTGGAAGGCGCATCGGTAGAAGACTGAGAGGTCGGATGCCGATCGGAGCGCCACAGCTTGGCCTTTTAGTGGTCCGGCAGTGTTGATAAAGCTGATGCCACGAGCAACGAATCCTTGACCGTTTATGCCTAAAGAACATATTTTGTAATCACAAAACGATTAAAATAGTAAAACTTACACTTTTGGTCTTACAAATTTGGTGAAATTTCATTTTGATTCATGTAACTTTAATTGTGGCCACTTTGTAACTCTAAGATTACTTATTGTTCAATTCAAGGATAATGGTTTATATTAATGTTTTTACAACTTCAAAAAACGTAATGTGCGCGGACGCGGGCACACACTCATATATATTATCATTTATTTTAAATTTATTATTATTAAATGACAAGAGAGAGTTCGACAGCCAACACCTTTCTATTAAAACATGAGACCACATGCAAAAAAGATGATAAAATAACAGAATCAAGCTTGTTGATTTCAACAATTAATTATAAACGAGAGTTTAGATCGTGACAACGGAAATTAGACTGACCAAATTGGAACCTCGCAAAAGTACAATAACTACAATTTTATGAATTGGACAAAAATTAAGTGCTCAAACTTAAGAAACAATTAGATCAGATTAAGCAAATAATTAGAGATGGAGAGAAATTATATGTACATACCAGCAGTTGCAGAATTATAGGTTGTGTAACCTTCACTGACACTTCGGCTAGATGTGATTATTGTATATCTAATGCCAGCACCAACCAACATGATTTTACTGTTAATGTTGCTAACTTGAATGTTCTCCGTGTAGACACCTTTCTTCACATAGATTATAAACTTGCTCTTAACTCTTCTCCTCGCGGCTTCGTCTAAGGCGGCTTGGACGGTCGAAAAATGCCCCGATCCATCTTTAGCCACCAAAAGATTTGCCCTAATGTTTGAAGCTTGCAATAACCTCCGGTCATGCTTCGAAACCCAATTTGGAAACTTTTCACTCTCATTGTAACTTTCTTCCGTGCCTAAAAGTTGGGAACCAATTGCCAAACTGTTGCTAATGAGTTCCGACACATTGTTACTGGACCTGTAAATCGGCGTTATGAAGTCCGTAACGTTCAGTTCCAAAGACCCGACTCGGCACGTGTGAATGTTGGTGAGGGCAGCGCTGAGCCAAGTTTGCGCATCAAAATTGGAACACTTGCGTTTGTTGCCTAAGCCTTCAAGTGTAACGTTGAGCTGGTTGACGGTATTATCGAAAAGTTTCAAGCAATCAGGCCCACGCGGCTTTTTCGTTATCGTTTTGGCAGTTTTGGCCATACTGGGAGGTGTATGTTATGACATCGAGAGCTCTTTCTAAGGCCACTTCAACCAGCATTTTTCGAAACTCAGAGATGTGTTTCGGGCGGAAGCGGTGGATGCTATTCGCCATGCAATAGTTGCAAGACTCGGGGTGAGGGGTTTTTCTGCACCACATACGTATACGGCTAGAGTGGCGGTGGTGACTTCTGGCCAGGGTTGTGTGGAAGAACAAAGAGATGAATATGAGTAAGAAAAATAAAGAGAAGTGGGCAAATTTGTGAATGTGAAGCATGGTTGACAAGTTTTGGGCAAATACACGCACGAAGACACAAATTAGTGACAATTAAGTGGCTTATGATTCAAATAATTGTGTTTTTAGTGTTTAGTTATGATTTTATTTTAAAGAAAATGCGTAAGTCTTACCTAAAAAAATTTCGATAATTACAAAACAGGTGAATATATGATTGCATTTTGGTTTATAAGTCACCTCGAAAATTGTAATGACTATTATTACCATGATCACGTGAACATGAAGCCTGATCAAATAAAGCTGGAATGATTAAGAACATAGTCATAGTTACTTGCTACATATCCAAAATGGCATTTTCATCGCGTCACAAAGCTAACGTATCTAGAAACACAAGTTGTGTGTGTATTATTTCAAATAGAAAACTTCATTTTAATATTTAAAAAATATGAGTTTTAGATTATAATTTTGTGTAAGATTAAAATCCAATTTTAGTTCTTAGTACATTTAATTATATAATTTATTAGTTATATTTATCTTTTTATTTTTATTTTAATGTATTGGTTACATTTAAATTTAATTTTTATTTCATTCATCATAATTAAAGAACTAAACATGTGCATAGTAATAAAATTAAAATTTAATGTGGAGAGATTAAATAAAAATACACATTAAATAACAAAAATTGAATATAAATTTTGATAAAAGTACACTTCGAGAAATTTTTCAAGATGATGGGAACTCCTACTCATCAGTCATCACTGCCAGTTGGTCTTCCAAGCCAATGGTAATTTGACAACTGAATTTATTTATTTTTTCTTATTCAATTCATTCTCTTAAATGCTGAAACGTCACTCCGAAAACGTAAAAATCGACAGAGCTAACACGTCTATGAATAACCTTTCCGTTTCGTTTGGGTAATTATTGACAATGTTCGCTATCGGTTTGGGGTGGAGAGAATTGAAATAATTAAGAGGCCTTAGCCACAACCTCACCCTTCTTATATAAAATTGATTGAATTTGTATGACTTTTTTTTTTTTAACAAACGATATTATCTACAATAAAGGGGAGAGGGTGGGCTTAGTCTCACAATGGGTTACCAATAATTTGGTTCAAATTCGATCTTGGCGAGAATCGTGATGAAATTGATGTTCCATAAAACCAACTGGCCATATGGGAGTAGCCCAAGATCATATAAGCACATAACAAACCTTGTCCCTCACCAATGTGGGACAACTCTCAACACGCCCCCACACGTGTGGCGGATTTTCAAGCCTACATGTGGACAACAATTGGGTGACGTGGAGCGCGTATGGCCGTTGGGCTTCACACATGGATAACCTTGCTTTGATACCATGATGAAAGTGAGGTTCTACCATAAAACCAATTGGCCATATGGGGAGTAGCCAAAGATCATATAAGCACATAACAAACCTTGTCCCTCACCAATGTGGGACAACTCTCAACAAATCGAACCTAAGACCTCTCATTTACAAATGAAGAGAAATATCACTAGACTATAGTACTAAATGACAATTGATATTTTTCTGCCAGAGACACTAGACCATAGTATTAAATGACAATTGATATTTTTCTGCCAGAGACCTTTGTTAGCTTAGTTATATGAATTAAACTGATTAATCAGTAATATTCATTCCTTGTGAAAATGTATCATATGTACAAAAGTCCAAAACCAAATTACATTCAGTAAATGCAAATAATTTTCTTTTCCAAACAAACACAATAAGTTGACAAGTACAACATTATGGGCATTGATCATAGACCCGTCGTGAATGGCACACCGGTGGCGGGCAACCACGACCTGACCGGCAATAAGGTTACCGGCGGTGAACATAGACGCCACATTTGGACTGGTGATGGCATGAAAACCAGGCCATTTCACTCTATACCTAGTAGAAGAGGCAGGTCCAAAGTTCTTATACTCCCCATAATACAAAGTACTAAGGGCAAAATTACTTCTTTGCCACTGCAACCAGCCCGCCGGATTTATCAAACTGTCGAGATAACATTTCATAAAGACAACCCTAGAGTACTGCATCCACGGCCGGCCCAAATATGTTTTGTAAGAACTGGCCACGGGCTTTAGGTCAGCGGCTGCCCGTACCTGAGAATTGTGGATCGAAATTGCTGTGTTTTGAAACGGGTCGTTTCGACCTTGGGCTGTGATGACGTTCACTTGGCCCCACAATGGTTTTCTCACATAAATAATACAATTTTGGAAAACTGCAGCTGCGTTCCCAAATATGAAGTCTATGGTGCCAAAGATGTAGCATTCTCTGTAGAACTGGCGCTGGGAGTGGACCATGAGGGTGTCTTGGTAGCCCTGGAAGGCGCATCGGTAGAAGACTGAGAGGTCGGATGCCGACATGAGAGCCACGGCTTGGCCCTTTAGCGGTCCGGCGGTGTTTCTAAATGTGATGCCACGAGCAATGAATCCTGGACCATTTATACCTAAAGAAAATATTTTGTAATGAAAAACCAATTAAAAATATAAAAGTTTACCTTGGGTCCGTATAGTTTGAGAGAAATTTCATTTTAATTCATGTAATTTCAATTGTGGCCACTGTTTATCTCTTAAATTACTTAATGGACAGTGGAAATTAGACTGACCAAATTAGAACCTCGCAGAAGTACAAGAACCACAATTATAAATAGGCCAAAAGTTAAGTACTCAAACTTAAGAAAAAATTAGATCGAATTTAGCAGATAATTAGAGATGGAGAGAAATTATGTGTACACACCAGCGGTTGCAGAATTATAGGTTGTGTAACCTCCACTGACACTTCGGCTAGATGTGATTACTGTATATCTAATGCCAGCACCAACCAACATGATTTTACTGTTAGTGTTGCTAACTTGAATGTTCTCTGTGTAGACACCTTTCTTCACATAGATTATAAACTTGCTCTGAACTCTTCTCCTCGCGGCTGCATCTAAGGCGGCTTGGACGGTCCGAAAATTCCCCGATCCATCTTTGGCCACCACAAGATTTGCCCTAATGTTTGCACTTTGCAATAACCTCCGGTCATGCTTCGACACCCAATTTGGAAATTTTTCGCTCTCATTGTGAACTTTCTTCCGTGCCTAAAAGTTGGGAACCAATTGCCAAACTGTTGCTAATGAGCTCCGACACATTGTTATTCGACGTGTAAATCGGCGTTATGAAGTTCGTAACGTTCAGTTCCAAAGACCCGACTCGGCACGTTTCAATGTTGGTGAGAGCAGCGCTAAGCCAAGTTTGCGCATCAAAATTGGAACAATTGAGTTTGGTGCCTAAGCCTTCAAGTGTAACGTTGAGCTGGCTGACGGTGTTATGGAAAAGTTTCAAGCAATCGGCCCACGCGGCTTTTTCTTTATCGTTTTGGCAGTTTTGGCCATACTGGGAAGTGTATGTTATGGCACTGAGAGCTCTCTCCAAGGCTACTTGAACCAGCATTTTTCGGAACTCGGAGGTGTGTTTCGGACGGAAGTGGTGGCGGCTATTCGACATGCAGTAGTTGCATGGCTTGGGGTGAGGGGTTTTTTTACACCACGTACGTATACGGCTAGAGTGGCGGTGGTGACTTCTGGCTACGGTTGTGTGGAAGAACAAAGAGAAGAATATGAGTATTGAGAGAAGTGGTAGACTTACCTTCATGACCATGTTTGATGAGCAATGAGATTAACAAGGTGGGGTTGTTGAGGGTTGTGAGGGTCATATCTTTTAAGGTGTTCTCTTTTATGTAGGTAGGAGAAGAAAGAGACGGGGTAGAGACAGGCTGGCTTGTTTGACACATAAAAAAGATTGCAAGATGTGTGTAAATGCATCATGAGTAAGATCGCATCGCAAGGTATACCATGTTGACTTTACTTAGAATTGTGTGCAATTCACAATATAATACTCTTAATTTCTTTTAAATACTTCACGGATGATGTAACATGCATGTTAAGTACATATATAAAGTCATCAAAAAATAAATAAAATACATATATTGGATCTTAGCATTAATGAGAAGTATAGATATGTAAATATGTTTTGTTTATATGTACTTCTCATTAATGCTAAGATTTAATATATGTTATATATACACACACATATATACCTAAAAAACTAAAACCATAGCCGTCTAGGGAGAACCAAATAAAACCCTCATTTGTTGTTGGCTCCTGCCTTTGGTTTTGGGATCGGCGACAACCCTTGTACAAATCCTTCTTGGTCTCTTCTTTCGCTCTCCTTCCTCTTGTTTTTGTTTTTGGTGTTGAATTGTAAACATTATAGTTGTCAAGAAAATTGTCGTGATTTGCCTAACCACACAACGAACACGCGATTTTTGTTCCACATGGCACGTTAGATATGGATTTAGAGTTGCAAGATGCTAAAGCTGTCATATTGTGTCTGGTTAGCGTTTAGCCAGTACATAACTATGGATTTAGACAGTACGACACTGTGGCTCTCTTTGAGATGTCATGAGGATGTCGAGTGGCAACATTGTTTTGTCATTTTTAGTTTTGAATGTGTTTAATAATTTCCAAAAACTCACAAGGAGTTTGCTGCTTCCCTCTCCCCCAACCCCCACCCCCCCCCCCCCCCCGGCGCAAATAATAGGATAATCTACACTAAATTCATCTAAACTAGAGGGAGGGAAAATCAAACACAGGACCTCAGGTGCAAAGACGAATGCTTTAGCCAACTGAGCTACAAACCTATTTGTAGAGTTTTCTGGTTTTGATTTGTCTTTTCATGAAAGTTTCTTTATTTTCAATTTTCCTCTTGGTGTGTTGGCTCTCTTTCCAATCTGATCTATGTGTGAAGGGGTGGAGCAATTCGATTTGATAAATCTACCTCATCTGGTGTTAGAGGTTCATGATGGTGATTAGGTCGTACTCTCTATCCCACTACAATTTTAAGAGTTTTCTTGTTCTCACATGCTCTCGTGTAACATGATATTTAAAGATTCTATTATTTTTTTGTAATCTTGCGATTTTCGGTAAGCACAACTTTTGACTAAGTTCTTGAAGTCTATTTATGGCTTTACAACTGGTCATGCTATTGTAATATTTTTTAGATATAATTTGTCAGGACCTTTTGAGGCTAAATTCTTCATATATTTTGTATTTTGTTGAAATTTGGAGGATATATAATGCTTTTTTCTTTCTTATTTTTTAGAAAGTAATTATATTTGTATGAATGTTTTTCAAAACATTTCACATGGATTTTTCATTACGCTGAGTTTTATGAAAACTCATGCTTAATCAATAATTAAATTAAATTTTTTTTCAAAAAATAAAAAATAAAAAAACACATTACAACTTAATAGTGGAATGATATAATTAACATGTCAAATTATGAGGTAATATTTCTTGTATTTATAAGGAAAAGTTAGGCATGAAACAGAAAACGTGATTGGTCATGATTTGCTTAAATTCCTCAACTAATTATCAACGGTTTAGGAACTAGACCCAAGATGACTAAGAATATCAAATGTAGGTGTAGACTGTGTAAAAAATTATATGAAAATATGCCTAATTGGCGACATACTAGTGATCGATTGGTGTGACTTTTGCAAGTTCCCATTTGAGTCACCGATTGACAAGAATATATATAACATGCTTCGTACGGATTCCATGCAGCACAATATTAGATTAGATTAGATTATGATAGGTAATATATAATTATAGTTATACATGCATACATACCTACATACATATATATATATATATGGTTGAGTAAATTGATGCTTTCAGATAATGTACATCGAAAGTAACAGTTTCTTAAACGAAACGAGTCATGTTCTTGTTATACTCAATGTCCAAAGTCCTGCCCTTAAGTTTAGGGTAACCCCATGTGACATTTTAATTAGTTTCTGAATTAAGCATGCAAAACCATCTTCTTCTTTATTTTTCAATTAATTGTGTTTTCCCTTTTCTTAATCCATAACCCATTTTAAGACTTCTAAGCTTACATTTTACAGGGAAATATAACATCTGTTGAGTTATGTCTAATCTGTTTAACAATTTAACCATTAACGTTACTGTTTGTCAAAAAAAAAAAAAATTATGTCCAATCATAAGTCTCGAAGAGATATTGCATACTAAAGTTTGCATGATTGACTTGCATAATTTTATATTTCAAATTAAACTTAATAGTCCCCTTAGTTTATCTAGGGTTCACTTTCGTCCCCCTAGTTTGTCCTCGTAGTTTCATTTCGTTATCATCAATCATCATTAGTCCAATTTATCAAATGAGGCAAAATTCCTTCCAAGTTGAATTATTTTCAAATCATAAGATGTGCACAAAAATGTATAGGAAATCAACTTAACTAAGATATTGGACTTAAGTGAAAACTGAGTGAAACTATAAGGACGAAACACAAGTGAAAAAAAACCTACATGGACAAAAGTGACAATCTAAATAAATTGCAAGAACTATCACTACAATTTAACTATAAATGTTTGATCTTTGACATGAAAGCTCTTAGTGAAAAACACGTGAAGTGCAATATTTTAAGAACACTAGACTGACTTTATAATTAATGTGAGGAGGGCACTAAAAGAATTTTCACAACTAAGAATAAACTAGAGCATGCCAAATGATAAGATCTCTCTCTCTCTCTCTCTCTCTCTCTCTCCATACAAGCACTCAAAGTGTTTTTGTATAAAATTTACATGTTTTTTCAAATTCACGATAAGTTTTTAAGTTTGAATGTTCTTATCTAGTTGGGCTCTCTTTCAACTTGAGCAATTCATAAATGCTATAACAAAGTCGGCCCATTAGAACAAAGAGAAATTGGGCCAGACCCACCCCTTAGTGAAAGGGCTTGCCATTTGTTTGTTCAATTCATACGATGGTTTTCCCGTCAACACATCAATCAGTTTCATGCAAGATTGATAGAAATACAACATTGGCTTCAAACTTTAAGAAACAAACATTAATAGGAAACATACAGATCTAATAAAAATGGGTTAATTGGCATTGCAGTTTACACCATAAGGTTGGGGTTATATACAAAATAAGTCATGATGTTTCAACTTTCATTTTTTTACACCATATGGTTTTCGAATGTATTAACTTAACATCTTCGTCAATTTCGCTATCTAATTAGATGTTAAGTGCTCATATAACATAGACTTGACTCTCATTTTGAGAACTCGTTGACCGTCAATTTCAATGTCTAGTGTTTTATGAAATTGACAGACAATGGGTGCTTAAAATGTAGGCCTAGTATATGCCACATTAGCACCTAACGTCTAATTAGGCAGCAAAATTGACAAAAACGTTAAATTTGTGCAATTTAAAATTTATAATGCAAAAACTGAAATCTCTTGCCTCATATGGCAAATTGCCAAACTTTTTGGTATAAAATGCAGTTAACCTAAAAAAAAAAAAAAAAAAAAGAATAGAAGAACAAATTGTTCAAATAAGCACCAAGCAAATCATCTAATTAGGTACCCGAAACTAAAGTTTTATCGTATCCAAAGTAGAGTTCTATTAATATTTGTAAACAATACAAATACTGTACCTCAAACGGAGCCTAAATTAATTTAGCCAAATTGTAAGCACAAAGACTAAATTGACCAAACGAGTAAAACACATAGACTAGTGGTTGATTGTAGTTTAAGGTTTAATTTGTTTAAACCAAATGGGCGTATATTTACTACTCACTGAAGCAATCGTGCAGTCTCTAGTAGTGTTGCTGCCACCTTAAGTAAAGTGTGTTTACATATACGGTGGCTCAAAAATCATTTCCTGCAGGTTCATGCTTTTGGTTTTTGGGAAAGAAAAATTCTTTAATTCTTTCTTAAAAACCTTCATCTTCCCTTAAAATACGATTCCACAAAAGAAAATCTTAATTAGATTGTTAATTAATTAACTTCTTGGTTGGAACGTCATTAGATTACATGGATACAATGCTGCCTTAAATTACATGCCTACATGGAACGTTATTAATCAATATTAAGATAAGAACATAAATTTACTCCTATATAATAATAATTGGATTTCCTTAAAAACAATTTATGTCTCACATTGACATTGTCATCAATGAGGTTGCCATTCAAACTCTCTGGCATTTGAGTGTCCTTTTTCTTTTTTATTATTATTTATTATTATTATTATTATAGAAAAACTAATGAAAAGGACTTGAAAACTTTTAGTTTTAACGATAAGGACAAAATAAAGGGTAAAATGAATAGTACTAGGTTTGATTTTTTAGTGTAAAAATGTTCGTTAAAGTGAACAGTACCGTGGGCTTTTCGTTAAAACTTCTTTTTTTTTCCTTTTTTATTTATACAACATATATTGGGGAGGGGAAAATCGGACTTGAGGCTTCGGATGTAAATATAAATGTTCTTAACCATACAGTACAGGCACTTTGGTTGTGTACATATCCTTTTCATCTTCTTTTTTAACACAAACAATATTAAAGAAAAAAAATTCAAACATAGAAGTTGGAGTGACCGCTATGGACTTCATAGCAACAATCCCCTTTTGAGTGTGTGTGAAATGAAGTAAAAATGTATAAGAAACATTCCATATGGTCAAAGAAGTTAGAAGTATATATAATCCAAAGTGTAGGGATACAATACACAAATACACTGAAACTAACAAATATAATGCTACACAATCTACATGATTCATTCACCGCCTCAATCGGAGGCTGCGGAAGTGCCTCCCTTCGTTACATAGTTAAATTGTGTGATTTGTCAACTACCTCTCTCTCTCTCTCTCTCTCTCTGTGTGCAGTCATTCAAACTATTTTCTCCTTTTCCCCTTTAATTTCTTGGTAAGGGATAGAAAGTCACGCTTCCATCCCAAGTGATCGGCAGACATCGTACACTCTTGCTGTTTCTTCATTTATCTCTATCAATATTTTTATGCCCTAGATATTTTTCTCAACATATAAATATAGAGCGTGTCACAACTCACAAGTTACAAACTTGCGAGTACAAGGAAATAGTAGTGGGGTTTCGAAGAGACGGATATTGAAGAAAAAAAATGTCTGCGCTTCATAAGATGGTGGGCTTAGTGGGGGCGATTATGGTGGCGATGGTGATGACCGTGGCTTCTTCTTCTTCAGCTCATGACTATGGAGATGCTTTGACCAAGAGCATTTTGTTCTTTGAAGGTCAGCGGTCGGGCAAGTTACCTTCTTCTCAGAGAATGACTTGGAGGAAGGATTCCGCTCTTCGCGATGGCTTCGAGATTGGCGTAAGTCTCTCCACTCGATCTCTTTGAATTTGGATAGAACATGATATTGCTAATTAGACTTTACAGATTCTTAATTATTACCCAAATCATGATTAGGAAAAAAAAATTTGAAGTTGCTTTCATCAAAATTTTCTCTTTGCCTTTTCATGTGCGAGAATGGTTAAAGAACGAAAATTTGGCAAGATTCATGGTATTTATTTCAGCAATCACACGCTAATGGGAAAGAAGTTGAAACGGTACACTATTACGTACTTATGGGAGAAAAAGTATTTGACAAATGTGACTAACACTTCTGGAGAAAAAGAACTTGCATTGCTTCACATTTTCCCTTTATAAAACATGTGAATTATGAACTTAATTATGACCTCACAATTAGTAATTTTGGTTATTTAATCCATTTCTGTAGCAATTGGTGGAATGGCTTTCCTGACGTTTTTAGCTATCAAGGGCTTTTTTGTGTGTATGGACTAACCATTTGTTTTTTGTGTGATCAGGTAGATTTAGTAGGAGGTTACTACGACGCCGGAGACAACGTGAAGTTCAACTTTCCGATGGCATTCTCCACAACAATGCTGGCATGGAGTGTTTTAGAGTTCGGGAAGGACATGAGCTCGGACTTGCCGCATGCCCTCGACGCGATTCGATGGGCAACCGACTACTTCCTAAAAGCGACTAGCATTCCTGGCTTTGTCTTTGTCCAAGTTGGCGACCCTTATGGTGATCACAACTGCTGGGAGAGGCCGGAGGACATGGACACCCCGAGGACCCCCTTTGCCGTGAGCAAACAGTTCCCGGGGTCCGAAGTTTCCGCTGAGATTGCGGCAGCTCTTGCAGCTTCTTCCATGGTGTTTAGGCAGATTGATAGAGGGTACTCCGCCAGGCTTCTCAAAAGGGCTAAAATGGTACTAAATTTCACGAGATTAATAATTGTGATTAATTAATAATTATGTGAAACTTGATTGATACGTTATACTCTGTGCATGGGCTAGGTTTTTGATTTTGCAGATAAATATCAGGGCTCCTATAATGACAGCCTTGGACAGTGGGTCTGCCCGTTTTATTGCGATTTTAGTGGCTACGAGGTATGAAGAGAACAATAATTTGCTCCTTACATTCTAACTTAGTGGTATATTACAAACTGACACGTACTAAAATGAGGTTAAAAAAATATGCAGTTAAACTATGATTTGTTTGACAATCTCTAATGTTTAGGATGAATTGATATGGGGAGCAGCATGGTTGTTCAAGGCAACTAAGCAAAGCAACTACTGGAACTATGTGTTGCAAAACATGCCCAAGTTGGACAGCGGTAACACAAATGGTGTCTCATGGGTTGGTGGAAGGTTTGCAGAATTCGGATGGGATTCGAAGCATGCAGGCATCAACGTACTCGTTTCCCAGGTAATTAAGTACTTAAATTTCCCTCCTTCTCTTCTAATTAAACATATTGTCTAATACAAGAACGATTTGGTCCAATGCATGTTTTCGCGACAGTTAAGCATGTCTACCATCAGTGCGGAGTCTCTTCCTTTCATTTCAAATGCAGATAGGTTCATATGCACCTTGCTGCCTGAATCACCAACCCTGTCTGTCTCATATTCTCCAGGTAGCTACTTCTTTAATCAGTGAATATATAATCACCATTCATATTACTGTTGGTCATTAATGTGGATTAATTAATTAATTAGGTGGGCTTTTGTTTAAACCTGGAGGAAGCAATCTGCAGCATGCAACAACTCTGTCATTTCTTCTAGTTGTCTATGCTCGTTATTTGAATCAAGCCAAGAGAGCAGTCCGTTGTGGCGATGTTGTTGCCAGTCCTGCTAGACTTGTACAACTTGCTAAAGGCCAGGTACATATTTACTACATTGTCATCTTGGTATATATTTACTTTTTGATTAAGTTGTAGTTAAAGACTCTTGAATTATATATTTGCCCGAATCTCACTTTGGTTCTAAATTCAATATTTTTATTTTATATTTTTCACATTTTTTTACATCGTGTCACTTTAGTCGTTCCATCAAAATATGTTTAGTTTTTCTATCATTTGTAGGGGCAAAAATGTCTAAGCATATTATATATACTTACCAAGTCTCTCACCCTCCATTTTTCTTCCCTCATTGATTCAAAATTTAAGTCTTAACTTCAAATTGGGATGTAAATGTGCCATTGCAAATTTGCAATGGAATAGAAGAGAATAGGGAGTTGGAGGTTAGGGAAGCATTCATCATTTTATATACAATGTGGTTGGCCATATTTACACCTAAGTTTTGACAGATTAGCAAATGAACTTTTAATGACTAAAGTGACGCATGAATAAATCTTTAAAATCTATATAGAATCCAAAAAATAATAATTCGTAGACCAAAGCGAGAATCAATTAATAATTAAGGGACTATGATTTCAATTTAAGCTTTACTATATATTCAAAAGATTGTACAATTGGGATACTTGTTAATTTATATAAATTTGGACCGACGGATATTGGATGCAGGCTGATTACATATTGGGAAGTAATCCATTGAGCATGTCATATATGGTGGGATATGGTGAAAAATTCCCTCAAAACATTCACCATCGCGGGTCGTCTTTACCGTCACTTGATCAGCACCCAGAACAGATTGACTGCAAAGGTGGAAACCATTACCTTTACAGCGAGAACCCTAATCCGAATTTGCTAATTGGAGCTATTGTTGGAGGACCAGATATCAAAGACGCATATGCTGATTCTCGAGAGGATTTTGTACACTCCGAGCCAACCACATACATCAATGCACCTTTTGTCGGGGTCTTGGCTTACTTCAAATCTCAATCATCCTAGCTTAGTTAGCTTAATTATAGCTCGTAATTAATTTCTTCATCCTCTCTCTTACAAATTATTGATCTTATGTTTACATCTTGCAACTGCAAGGAAAAAGAAGAAGAGTTGATTAGAAATGTAAGACTTGTGCAAAAATGTGAAATATGTCACTAACCTTTTGGCCGGCGTCATTAACCCTAATTATATAACGAAAATTAACTTGAACTTTTCGATCGTTTGATCTGCATTTCATACAAAACTTCACGACATGTCACAAACTAGAAAATACTAATTGTTAGTACCATAATTTGGGCTCATTTTGCCCACATAAATACTAATTATACATGACTTGTGACGTTCTTGTATTTGTCTGGTTTTACAATCCTGTCCAACTTTGTGTATCAACATTAATTAAAGATAAAAACTCAATGATTGAGTTGCCAGACATTTACATGTTTACGTGGCCGGGAAAAAACAATCCCCGAAAAAAGGAACTCAGTTTTTTCCGTTGCAGAAAAAGAATTTATTCAGTATAATCAAAATTACGTGCATACCGGCAAAGGAAATAAAACAAATCCCTACTTGTTCTTGGCATAAACTTCCAGCCATATAGTGATATCCACCTCGGATTTTGGTAATTGTGGAATGCACTAAACGTGACTTAATTTAAACATTGGAATATGGACAAGGAATTCCTAATCAAGATTTACGTACGTTTTGTTTTTCGCTAAGCACTGCAGATTCCTTAATCACTTATTTGGACCTTGCTTGATTGTATGAATTTACCATTACCAACCCCTCTGTGCCTTTGATTAATTGACAGAATTTTAATTACACCAACTTAATCAGTTACCTATTGTGGAGAAGGGACAACGATTGACCACTATATATTTGTAGCGATATATTGAACCCTATTTAAACAGATAATTATAACCAAAAGAGATATGAGGAACATATTCGTGTCTAGTAATTCGCTTTTAATATTAGCATTAGGGAGTTTGGCAATGGTAACAGCTGCACATTTTGACTATGCTGATGCCTTGTCGAATATCATTTTATTCTTTGAAGGGCAGAGGTCCGGAAAGTTACCGTCTTCCCAACGAATGACTTGGAGGAAGGATTCTGGCCTACACGGTGGCTCTGATGTTCATGTGAGTCACCCAACCATGAAACTTCGTCCAGATTGGACAAGTTGCTGAATCGCAGCAATTTTATTTATAAACACCGTACCACCATCACATGTGTTACTAATTCATGTGTATAAAATAAGGCAATTATTTTGTTGTTGTCTTAGTTGTAACATTTTCCTCAACTCTTGCTTACCGCTTGTGCTAAACCCTATTTTCTTTGCGCATCACTTTTCAAAATTGTATCGTTAACAAAAATGTCCATAATTATTAATTAGTTGACTGGATATTCTAACACCGAGTTTCCCACAGATTGATCTGGTGGGGGGATACTATGATGCAGGCGACAACGTGAAGTTCAACTTTCCTATGGCCTTCACAACAACAATGTTGTCATGGAGTGTTCTAGAGTTCGGACAACTTATGGGGCCGGAGCTTCAACATACTTTGGAAGCCATAAGATGGGGGACTGATTATATGCTCAAGGTCACAAGTGTTCCTGATTCTGTAGCCGGCGTAGTTGGTGACCCCAATAGCGATCATAATTGTTGGGAAAGGCCTAAAGACATGGACACCCCTCGAACCTCTAACGTTGTGCATAAAGGAAAGCCTGGCTCAGAAGTTTCGGGCAAAATTGCACCTGCACTTGCAGCTTCTTCCATGGTGTTTAAAGATTTGGACAAAGCATACTCCGATTCACTTCTGGATAGAGCTACCCATGTATGCAACTGATGACCAGAAACATTTGGGTTAACAAATCTTTCTTTGTCGGATTAGGTTTTTGAATTTGCAGATAAGTACAAAGGATCTTACAATGATAGTATTGGAGAAGGAGCATGCCCTTTTTACTGCGATTACAGTGGCTACACCGTATATTACGTGTTACATCAATTGATATAAAAGTACAATTGGTACTCTTAGGATTGATGGCCTTAATTTCGTTTCTCTAGGATATGATTTATAATCCACGTACCCTTTTGTTTATTTTGTTTGACTATTTATATGTAAATGTGTGTGTGCGTTGCAGGATGAATTGATTTGGGGAGCTTCATGGTTATATAAGGCAACCAAGGATCCTAATTATTGGAACCATGTCAAAAACAACATAAACTCTTTGGAGTCCAATGTTGTAATTAGAAATGTGAATGGGAATCCTGTTGCATCTGTAGGTGGAAGTTTCTCAGGTAATTAACTTTTAATTTTTAGTTTTAACACATCTTCTCTGTAATTTGATTGCTAATTAGAAGTTTTCTTCTTTAATTATTTACTGTAGTGGGTAATGACTGATACCTCCAGTTCTAATCCCTTTATCCCCAAAGCTGATCAGTTTGTATGCTCCATTTTGCCCAAATCAACGGCTCCCAAATCAGTCTCATATATATTTACCAGGTAGTTTTCTTTTGAACAAGTTGAAACAATATAATAACGGTAAACGCTAGTCAATCAATATCTGACATGTTATTTTGACAAATGATGAGTCAAGATCACACATACAGAAAAATCATGAAGAATATGCGTATTGTTACTTTCGTGCACACACACACGCATATATCGTTATCTAACAACGAAAGTTCTTTTTTCTGTTTTTGGCATGGGGGGGGGGGGGGGGCGCTGATGTTTAAATCCTAAGGAAGTAGCCTACAACATGCAACGTCCATATCATTTCTTCTCATTGTTTATGCTCGCTATATGAAAGCTGCAAGCAAGGTTGTTGATTGTGGCAACAATATATGTTCATGTCACTCCAACTAGTCTAGTCAATTTTGCCAGAACACAGGTACGTAGAGAGTAAACTGCGGTTTTGATTCCTGATTATCTTGTGATTTTCAGTTTACATATTTAAATTTTGCAATGCAGGTTGATTATATACGAGGAAGCAACCCATCGGGGATGTCATACATGTTGGGATTTGGGCAAAACTATCCTAAGAAAATACACCACCGTGGTTCGGTGTTGCCAAGCATGGATCAGCACCCACAGCACATTGAATGCAACGCAGGATACTTATATTTCCATGGCAATGATCCCAATCAAAACGACCTAACTGGTGCTGTTGTGGGAGATCCTGGTGAGGATGACAAGTACGAAGACTCAAGATTTGATGCTACATCAACGCACCTTTTGCTGGTATATTGGCTTACTTCAAAGCTTTATACCGCTGAAAAAAAAAAGTAGAAATTGTAATCTTGTATTTCAACAAAGTCTTTGATTTCATAGCCCTCTTTTGGATCAAAGATTTCAGTTGCAACTCTTTATCATATGTTAAATAAAGTGGTACTAATGTTATATTCACTCAAACTCATCCAAATATAAAAAAGAAATGGATTTATATTTACTAGTAGGTGGCTTTTTTCTTTTCTCTCAAACAAAACATGTTATTTTAAAGGCGAGGGAAGGTTATTGCCTTGATTCGGCCATAATTTTTATAAGACATTTCTTGTGAGTATAGCTGGTATACAGACAAGCAGTTAATTTGACAATAATTCTCTAAATTAACGTGCATTTTGAATACACTTTAATGACTAATCTTTTCTAGTAAAATAAGATATATTAATGGAAGCATATGAATTTTAACCAATTTCTTAATCCAACCAAGATTTCTTTATATAAATAAATTAACACAAGGGATGTTATGAAAATTGCTCTCAGTCAACAAAAGTCAAACGATCCTAAGACTAATAAAAGATGATTTTAAAATGAATTTGGATCCTCCTGATCAAGGAGTGTGGGCTGTTGAATGAAAATTCAACTGCTATAATTATTATAACTATAAAGGGATCTCCTATTTATAACCATTGAAGTTTCATCCAACGGCCCACACTCCTTGATCAGGAGGATTCTCACCTTGGATTCAGAAAATGATCCAAATCCTTTAAAAATTTCTATTTCTTCCAAAATGGGCAAATTATTTCACCTCTGAAAATTAAAATGAAAAAATCAAGGAAATTACAGAGTGGGCCCCTTTATATTTCCAAAGGTTTTTAACGTCGGAAGTTCAAAACCTCTTCGAGTTCCAGATCGACGACGAAGAAGACAAAGATGCAGCAGAGAAGACCAGCATCAGGGAGGCCTACTGGAACGGACGGCTCAGATTTCAACTATCGCATGGTTGTTGACTCTCGTAAGCTCCAGAGAATCCGCTCCTCCTTTTCCTTCCTGTTACCTTTTATTTCTATCACTTTCTCGGCAACCAAACACATCTCCAGGTCCCTGAACTCTTTATAATAATGAAATTTTTTCTAATATTTGATGTGGGGTTATCGAATTTCAGGGTATCAGAAGGTAGCTAAAGGGAAATCTAGTCTCTACGCTCTTATTTTTACCCAGGTACTGAATTTCTCTCCCTCTCTCTCTGTTCCTCTTCAATGTTGTCTCTGTGATTTCTTGAAGCATTGGTTTTTTAAATAATAAATTATTGAAATTTCATTGCTCTAATTAAACGGGTTTGTGTTAGTTTCTGAAGTAGAAATCGTATTTAACTGGGTTAATGTGCATGAACTTTTCAAGTAATTTATTAGTGAATTTTGTTGTGTAAGAAAACCTAATTGTTGTTGGTAATAGAGTTAAATAGTTTGAGAATTTCAAGCAGAAATGAACAATCAATAGACAACACGAGGCAATTTATACGGTTCCGCTATTGTTCTATGTTCATATGCCAAAAAATGGCATAAGCTGATTGTTGTTGAACTGGATAGGTTGGTTTAGTGGATTTTTCTGTTCCTCAAAATGTAGCCGATGGTGCACAAAACCTTGCTATAGTTCGACTGGTAGTTACGCAGCAGAAACAAATCGGGTCACGTATCCTCTTATTTCGATTGTGTTAGACAGGTATCATCTGTATTTGGGGTCTCACAACAGATGCCTTGCAAAAGCAGGTTGAGTTCATACCGCCAACGCAAAACATTTTGGGTAGATTCTTTTGTGATGTACCTGACATGGTGAAGGTTATGTCATGACTAAACCGGTTTTGGTGACTAGGTTAACATTTAGTTATCCGGCAAATTGGATATGCGATGTATACTTGGATAAACTGATTCTCTTATGATAGCATTTGCTCTGCCGCAGGCCGTCATTCAATTGGTAGGAGTCCTACACACTTTTCTATTGACATCAGATGAGGACGGTCCAGATGTGATTGCTATCTCATCTGTTGCTATTGGTTCTGTTTCTTTGATAATTGGGGAGTTGGGTAGGTTCTTTTTCTTTCACGTTACATAAGTTTTTGCATCTGTTCATATACTACAACTTTCTGTTGTGCCAAAGGTCGAAAGCGCAGCCGAGTGTCTTTGTTGAAAGTGTACATGGTTGCATCATCTGTTGGAATACTTCTCTCCATTGCTTGTGTTGCTGAGGGAAGTTTAACACTAGCGGTAAGTCAGTTCTTCATTTTCAATTGTTGATTATCACTTAGGAATTTGAAACCTTCATGATTGTTCGCCCTTTCTTGTTATCGTCGGAATTTCCTGACTGTTGTACTGTACGGAATCACTGGTAGGTTTTGCAAAATTCAAGTAACTGGAAAACAAAGAAATTTGAACTTGTTGAGGCCACTCGCACTGTCATTGGTTAGTGTCTGTACTTTCTTCATGCGATGCAAGTAGAATTAAAATGGCGAAAGTCTAATATGTATGTTTCAAATTTGACAGCATTCCTGGTTCAAATATTTGCAATCAGCACAACGACTTCTCTCATCGGTAACATGTCTCCTCCAAAAAGAGCCTCGTAGCTGCTTCCTATAGCCACAATCATTCCAGTGATCTACAAGAATTTTTATTGTTCAGTTTCTTTCGGGGTTCAAATTTTGTAATTCGAGGAAATTATGTAGAAACAAAAACAGTGATCGTAGGGAATGTTATTTGATCCATCAATAGAAATTGGGTGACATTTAATCTCGGCAGGAATGATGATACATGTTTTTTGTATTTATGCCAAGTTCGGAATAATTTTTAAGCGTCGGCGTTGGAGGGAACCATGATACATATTTTAATCTCTCTCTGCTAAAATTTTTGCATGATCTTGCTGAACCAAGATGCCGGCCGGAACTTTGAAGGACATTAACAATGTTTGCTGAATTAACTGAGTCATTGACTCGCCATTGCCCGTGACTCGGACAAGGTCGTCGATCATATTCAAATTTTTGAAGAAACACAATTCAAATGGGGGTTTTGGTTGTGACATTGATTTTGATACTCTCACTTTTCAATGTGAATGTGTGCTGCTATAGCTCATTTTCTTTTTAAATTATCATTATTAAGGGGAGGGGAAGTGTTCGAAATTATCACAATAATTTAAGAAAAGAAAGAGTTTCGAATCCTGCTCAACACCATCTGATGGAATATTAGACCACATACGATTTGGAGTTGCGATCTGAATCTTCCACTTGTGTTTGGACTTATGATTCACACATAAGCCACTTTATATTATAGTTATATGCACTGTTCTAAAAATCTCCGCCTAGCACCGCCTAGGCACTAGGCGGTTGGTCACCGTCCCGATTAATACCTAGGTGTTTGAAAATTAAGAAATGGCGTCTGGAGCTGCTGAGGCCCCCGCCTAGCCCGTCTTGACCCGCCTAGGCTGCGACTCACTTAGACAGAAAATAGATAACTTTCATTTTGCATTTTATTTTTTTCAATAAATTGAAAGAGACTTGTTGAATGTTTAAATGAATACACATTATATGCATGTTCCCTAGGTTTTAATTATGTTATAATATTTCATAATATATATGTCATTCTACTTTGTAGTTTAGAATGAAATTATATATATATATATATATATATATATATTAAGTATAAACACACTTATTTACACAAAATATAATATATTTACTTAAATCCGTTTAGTTCACCTAGGTATCTGCCTAGTCCGCCTAGGTGCCCAGGCGCTAGGCCCCAGCTCGTCGTCCGACTACAGCCTAATGTCTTTTAGAACCTTGGTTATATGTAGAAAATATGTTCAACTATAAATAACTAATCCAGTATCAAATTATTACAGCGTATTTGTTAGTAGCTTCTCTAGCCTATAATCGACGGTAGCCGACCACCGACTTATACTTGGTGCCGACCTAACTTACTATATAATCCGCAAGTTTGTGATTTGTTCTACATTTAGCTGTAACCATCTACATTAATTGATAACTTTGAAGATATTTTTTTCAACTAGACTGGATCATAAATTGAAATGGCTGCCAAATGTCAACTCTGACGTTCCACACAGGTTCTTGGAGTTTTAAGTAGTCATCCATCCATCTCCATTGACTTTTAAGGTCCAAAATTGGCATATAATAATGCATGAATAGAGTCCAGGATCCCCGTCCAACAACAGTATCGCAAATAGTAATCCACATTGATCGTGTTATGAGTTATGATCCACATTGGCTGTCCAGCAGCGTTTCACATTACACTGGAGACCATGTTACACATACAAGACGTTTAAAAAAAAAACAAAACAAATAGTTAGTGGTTTCGTCACGGCAGTTCACCTTGTGGGAGCCAGAAAGACTCATAGAAGCATTTCAACCTCTTCTTGTCACCATTATACGATTCATCAGTGTCAGGGATCGAACACAGGACATGCCGTGAAGAATACAAGCTTGAATATGATGCTTGATTTTGTTTAACAGCTTGTATAAAATGAATGCACGTTCATTGTGATATTTCGTTTCCATAATGCATTTGATGTTTAAAGAATATTAAACAACCATTCAAAATGAAGGGGGCCAAAAATAATAAAGCTTAAGTAAGTGTATAGAAAACCAAATCTATATTTAGGTTTTTTTTTTTTTTTTTTTTACTCAATGCCCACTGCTGAGTCACAGACTCCATCTCAGTGGAGCTAGCTATTCTTATTGTGTCACTGATAAAGGTATTTATGGATATAAACACTGGATCCCGCACCATGTTCATAATCTGAAGCTAATTATCTCTTTTTATCCCACGCAATGTTCTCATACCACTGCATTTTGTTAAATTATTTTTGTCGCAATATGCTCTCTCCATCATTTCCTCAATGGAAGGGGATCGTTAATTGAGAAATCAAACTCTGCGACAACTTTTTCATGTAACATTTCTGGGGTTCAGTGCTAATAATTCCAACAACAAAAGAGTTACATGGGACAAATGGAAAGTGATAATTAAGTTCATAGTGGGAATAGGGGCTATACGCTTCTCTCCCTTCTTCTATCATGCCCATTGGCCTGGTTACCACTGGCAAGCCATGTGCAACTTAAAATAACAGCAATACAGAATTCAAAGTACAGTATTCCATTGGGTACGTACTAGGTTTACTTGATTCAAGTTTTAGTAAAAACTGTTAGCAGTAGTGCAGAGTGTTGGAAAATCAAATCAAAACAGGTTGTTAATGGTTAAAGCAAGCTGTTAGTTTCTTTCCAGGTTGTTTCCAGCAACTACAAAGATCATTGCTCCCTCCATCTGTTAGCCGAAAGCTGATTACAAGACAGCAGTGTGCTGCCATGTGATGTATTAGCCGAAAGAGTGTTGATTGCAAGCTGGAAAGATAGCTGCTTATGAGTGCTAGACTGTCCAAAGTTCCTGCATGTGTTTTAAAGGGTGTAAAGATGTTAAACACCCCATTCATTGCATGTGTTGTTGCATTGTTTATTAATTTCTGTTTTGTATAAATAGGCCATCTTGCTAAGCTTTAGATCATCCCATCCGAATCCCATTTCTCATTCATTTAATTTCAGCTTGTAAGCTATTGAGTTTGTAAACTCTCTTTTCATATATCTAAGTGCAAGTGTTTTACCAAAACTTGTTGCTTCCTTCCTTTCTCTATTTCTCTATTTCTTTCCTTGTCCAATTTTATTGAGAGTGAAAGTGAGAGGTGTGATAGAGTTTGTAAACTTATCACCCACATCTATTTTGGTATTGAGTTAGCAAACTCTTGTGAATACCAACAATTGGTATCAGAGCCAGAATACCATTCTGGCAGGTGCAACAGTTATGGCATCCAACTTAGTGCAGCTCCAAGTTCCCACATTGAAGAAAGAAAATTATGAAAGATGGTGCATCCAATTCAAAGCATTGTTTGGATCACAAGAGCTATGGGAAGTTGTCAGTAATGGGTATGTTGTACCCACTACCGAGCAAGAAGCCACATATACTGCAGATCAAAGGAACACTCTTAAGGATTTACGAAAGAAGGACCAGAAGGCGTTGTATCTTCTTTATCAAGGATTAGAAGATTCAACGTTCGAGAAGGTTGCAGAAGCAACAACGAGCAAGCAAGTATGGGACACACTCAGTACAATCTACAAAGGAGTAGATCGGGTCAAGAAAGTGAGATTACAGTCACTTCGAGCAGATTTTGAAACTGCTCACATGAATGAAGGAGAGAGCATCTCCGACTATCACTCAAGGCTCATTGTGATAGTAAATCAGATGAGGAGAAATGGCGAGAGACTCGATGAAGTACGAGTTGTGGAGAAGATACTCCGGTCACTCACATCTAAGTTTGAGCATGTGGTGACTGCCATTAAGGAATCCAAGGATTTGGAGGCGATGAGCACAGAGGAGCTACTAGGATCCCTCATAGTTCACGAGCAACGCATTCAGAAGAATGCAAGCCCCACAACGCTAGAGCAAGCTTTGGAGTCAAAGTTGAATATTGACAAACCAAATAAAGGTCGTGGGCAGTGGAACTCACGTCGTGGGAGTTCATCCAACCGTAGCCGAGGACGAGCCCAAGGAAGAGGTCGAGGCTATGCACAAAATCTAGGTCAGTCTCAAGAGTGGAGATCTACTCGAGGAAAGGCGCATATCCAGTGTCACAGTTGCAAGCAGTATGGACATTATGCAAATGAATGTTCATATAAAAATGGTGAGCATGTCAACATGGCAGAATCAAGTGGAAATGCTGGTGAAGAACTTACAGTCTTACTAGCACACCATGATATCAGTAGCCAACAAGATGTCTGGTATTTAGACTCTGGTGCAAGCAACCACATGTGTGGAAAGAAAGAGTTTTTTGCCGAACTCAAAGATGGGCCTTATGGATCTGTGAGTCTTGGTGACTCCTCAAAGTTGCCAGTTGAAGGCAAAGGAAAGATCAAAATCATCCAGAAGGATGGTAAAGAAGAATACATCTCCGATACCTACTACATACCAGGTATGAAGAGCAACATTTTGAGCATTGGTCAACTGCTCCAGAAAGGGTATGTTATACATATGGAGGATATGTTTCTCACTCTCAGGAATGCAAGAAGAAAGCTTATTGCACGTGTTCAAATGTCAAAAAACCGAATGTTCCCGTTGAAGTTGAACACAAAGATTGGGAGTTGCAACATCGGTGTAATGGAAGATGGGTCATGGAAATGGCATCTTCGGTATAGCCATCTTCATTTCAATGGCCTAAAGTTGCTGTCAAATGAAGGAATGGTTCGTGGTCTACCCCAGATTGAAGCCACACGCCAAGTATGTGAAGGTTGTGTGCTTGGCAAGCAAGCACGACTATCATTCCCTGTTGGTGATACATGGAGAGCAAGGGCACCACTGCAGTTGGTGCACACAGATATATGTGGTCCATTGGATCCCATGTCTTATGGAGGTAATAGGTATTTTATTACTTTCATTGATGATTTTAGTAGGAAGACTTGGGTTTACTTTCTCAAGGAGAAGTCGGCTGCCCTAAGAATCTTCAAGGAGTTCAAGGCACTCACAGAGGCTGAAAGCAACCACAAGCTTGTGGCTGTGAGATCAGATAGAGGTGGAGAGTACACCTCTATCTGTTAGTTTCTTTCCAGGTTGTTTCCAGCAACTACAAAGATCATTGCTCCCTCCATCTGTTAGCCGAAAGCTGATTACAAGACAGCAGTGTGCTGCCATGTGATGTATTAGCCGAAAGAGTGTTGATTGCAAGCTGGAAAGATAGCTGCATATAAGTGCTAGACTGTCCAAAGTTCCTGCATGTGTTTTAAAGGGTGTAAAGATGTTAAACACCCCATTCATTGCATGTGTTGTTGCATTGTTTATTAATTTCTGTTTTGTATAAATAAGCCATCTTGCTAAGCTTTAGATCATCCCATCCGAATCCCATTTCTCATTCATTTAATTTCAGCTTGTAAGCTATTGAGTTTGTAAACTCTCTTTTCATATATCTAAGTGCAAGTGTTTTACCAAAGCTTGTTGCTTCCCTCCTTTCTCTATTTCTCTATTTCTCTATTTCTTTCCTTGTCCAATTTTATTGAGAGTGAAAGTGAAAGGTGTGATAGAGTTTGTAAACTTATCACACACATCTATTTTGGTATTGAGTTAGCAAACTCTTGTGAATACCAACACAGAGAAGCACAAAAAAGTAGAAAGAGCATGTATTGAAGAAGAAAAGAGAAAAGAGAGAGAGGGAGAGAGAGAGAGTAATTGATTACATTGATATTGAATTGATGTATACAACTATGAGAATACAGTTTATATAGCCATCATGACTAGCTTGCAGCCTAAGCTATTTAACTAACTAATTTGATAACAACTCTAACAACCTTTCGGCATGTGGATATTGTCAACATCCCCCCTCAATCTCAACTGGGATTTCCCAGTTTAAGATTGAAGTAGACCATTCATCAATCAACTTCCTAAAGAATGTCAGCCCCTCAAATTGATTTCTACACCGATGTAGCTACTGTTTTCTTTGCGATAAGGTTTCCAATATTTCACAATCAACATTCCTAGAAGACCTTCAATTTTCACAGATTCCAACAACAAGCTTTACAATCACAGAAATCAAGAAACAAAACCTTCTTCGGTAATCGGCCTTAATGGAGTTACACACAATAACAACAAACAAAACTTGTCAAGAACGTTACTCCGGCTATCGGCCTTTAAGGAGTAACACACAATTTCTGAGACAGAACTTTTCACTCCGGCTATCGGCCTTATGGAGGAAACAAATTGCATTCAACACACTCTTGGCAATCGGCCTTATGGAGTGCACAAATCTCAAACAACCAAGAACTAATCACGCAACAAAAAAGAATGGCTATCGGCCTTTGTATTCCTTCAACACTATTGCAGAAAATGGCTATCGGCCTTAACAGATAAACTTGCATACAAGAAACCCTATCGAAGAAAACAAATATTCGCTACGGCATTTAAGCAAACAGATAGAGTGTAGAATTTAGTAGCAGAACACATACCAAACTCAAATCCAGAACCTCCGTAGAAATAGAGCACACTTTGGATTGCAATTCTTGGGCATCGAAGATGATGGTGGTAATGTTTCATTGAATCCCTTTTGAAATTTAATTGAATTGGGGGAGAGAAATGTCGAAGCTTTTTTAGAAGGTTGCTGGGTTCTTCACCAATCGGACTATGGTGGGAATGGACAAAGCTGGCAACCGTTACTTCGCCAGAAAATAGGAGGTCGATGGCAACGTAAATATATACCAAGGAACGAATCGAAGCTTCCCAACAAGATTACCAGGTTGTAACCTTCAATGGAAGACGATGGCACCAAGGACCGTCTGAGACGACCCATCAAACAGCTGGAGTGCACAGACCTTTTTCCTGTTGAAATACCCAGATTCGAGCACCAAGAACCTTCACCAAGAGCAGCAAATTGTCCCACACAAATAGAGCAACAACACACTACGCGGCGGAAGAACGAAGACGGAAAAATCACCAAGGATCGACCTAGGGCGATGATACCATGTTAACAGTAGTGCAGAAAAGCACAAAAAAGCAGAAATAGCATGTATTGAAGACGAAAAGAGAGAAAAAGAATAAGAGAGAGAGAGAGAGAGAGAGAGAGAGAGAGTAATTGATTACATTGATACTGAATTGATGTATACAACTATGAGAATATAGTTTATATAGCCATCATGACTAGCTTGCAGCCTAAACTATTTAACTAACTAATTTGATAACAACTCTAACAACCTTTCGGCATGTGGATATTGTCAACAAAAACTAGTCTTCTCTTCAACAAAAAATAAAATAATTCAAACCAAGGTAATCTGGCATTAAATCGTTAATTATGGATAATACTTGCATTCTATTCTTTCACTTGCAAATAATGTATTTTCATAATTGCAATCGTTCAATCTTTTAATCTTCATTTGAAGATCATTCTTGAAAAAATAATTTGAATCATCTAAACGTATCAAATAAATCAACGGTTCATTATGAATATGCTACTTAGTGCCTATAATGTTGATTTATTTAAAACATTTGGATGACTAAACAATGTTCATTTTGAATAATTTTTGGTAGACCAAACGGTTCCAATTATGATATTTTTTAATGATAAATATACATACACATAATTATGGAAATGAACTCATCCACGAGAGGGGATGCAAGCATTATCTGTTAATTAATCTCCTAATTCTTACTTGTCGAGTAATTTGTCTAACAATATTTGGTTCTTGTCCAATAAATGCTCTTAACTAACTAAGAAGTCCATTAAATTGGTGCATATATTATACATAGGATATTTATGCAAATATGATCTCTTAATTTCTTCATTTTCTTTCAAAAAATAAAATCCATTTTTCTTAATAAGCATTTTGGATTCTGTGAATGGATTAGGAAGTTTTTGGAATAGGAACCGTCATTGGATTACACAAATAAGAGAATGGTACAAAAGATGATAAAGTTTCAGGTCGAACATGATTTACCACCATCATCATTGAAGTTGTCTCTATTTAACCATTATCATTAGGTGTGGGGGTTTCTAACAAAAGACTTTGGTAATATTAGAAATGGAATATTCTATATATACGTCGTATAATATTTTGTCATATATATAATGTGTACTCTATTATCCAACATGCTCTCTCACGAGTGACTCTACATGAGATCACACAGAAAACAAATTCCCACACCGGAAACTATTATGGTCAAGTCATTATACTAGAGCTAACGTCAAATTTTTAAATGGCCAGTAGGTATTTAGTTACTGGAGTCAACAACAATCTTTTTGAACGGCCAAACATTAATAGTTTCAAATGTCTAACTTAAGAACGCAAATTTTCGAAAATCCTAAACTTTAAAACCTAAACTAAGCTAATAATTAACTTTAGAAATGATGGACTTTACAATAAGTCCGACTAGTTGTTGGCTTGTAGCTTGCTCTATAAAATAGTGGAAATTACAAACATTGAGAACACTTCCCATTATGGTTGATGGTACCCAACTTGCGCCACTGACTTACACTTGGTGCCGACCCAGTTGACTTACTACATAGCCACAAGTTTGTGGCATGTTCTAGATTTATATCCAACACATTGATATTTTTGAATATATTGGTCTAAATTTGTCCCACACTTGCTCACAAATCCGCATTAGTTGTCAACAGAATAAGATCATGAATTGAATAATGGCTGCCAAATCAAGGTCAACTTCTGAGCTCCATTCAGCTTCTTGGGTTTTTAAGAATACATATCCCCATTGTCATCTAATACTGGAGTTTAGTATTTATTTTCTTTCACGTGTAAATGAGGTCTTAGTTTTAAATCTTGTGAATGATAAGTTCGATTTCAATTTATTTTTCAACACTTTGTGTAACTAAATCTTTTATGAAGAAAAAAAAGTAATCATCCATATGAACCAATACAAAATATATATAAAAAAATAAAAATATTGCAAATAATAATGCATTAAGAAAGTCAAGGATGACTACCCCACAAACACAACAGTATCGCAAATAATATCACAAACAATAATCTCAACATTGATTGTTTTTTGACGCCATTCATTCATTTTCCAGCAACGTTTCACGCTACATTACTGTAGTCCATGCAGACTTTCATGCATGTGCCATGCTTACATGCGTGATGAACTTGGTCTTGTTTCAGCCTTAATAATACATAGCATTGATGGAAGAATAAAAAGAGCCGGGGGACACGGCCACCTCTGGCAGCGCCGTCACTTTAGACCTTGTCGACCACCAATACTATAAATTTACGTATTCCAACTTAACAGTTTCACCCTCGATCATTGCATACACAACTCAAGATGAAGGTTTTGGTTGTGAGTTTGATTTTCATACACTCAGTTTTCAATATGTTTGTCTGCTGCTTTAGCTCTTCGATCAATCTGATACCCCGTGGGAACGAAACTGATAGGATGGCGTTGCTCGCCATCAGAGCTCAAATAACGGAGGACCCCAATCAGTTCCTGAGTACATGGAGCGAATCGTCTCATGACTTCTGCCTATGGCGCGGCGTCACATGCAGTCGAAGGCATCGACAAAGGGTTACTAGGTTGGACCTAGGCGAACAAAACTTGGCGGGCTCCATATCCCCACACATAGGAAATATAAGCTTCCTAATGGAGCTGTATTTCCAGAACAACAGTTTGAGCGGCCAAATCCCACCAGAAATTGGGCGTTTGCGTAGATTGCAGGTACTACGTTTGAACGTCAATTCACTAAGTGGTTTTATTCCTGTCAATATATCCAATTGTCTCAACCTCGTTCTTCTTAGTTTCGGTTACAATCGGTTAGAGGGTATTATTCCTAGAGAGTTTGGATCCTTCCCAAAACTCGAAAGACTGGTTCTTCAGTATAATACCTTAGCAGGAGAGATCCCTGACTCATTGGGGAACCTTTCTTCTCTTGATATGCTTGCTTTCTCTGGAAATAACCTGTCGGGTAAAATCCCTAATTCCCTTGGTCAGTTGACAAAAATAACAATTTTCACATTAGGCTTAAATAATTTGTCTGGTATAATCCCTCCCTCCATTTCTAATCTGTCCAATCTAGTTATTTTTGACATACAACAAAATCAAATTCGAGGTTCTAATCCATTAGCCTTGACCAAAAGTTCTCCAAATCTCGAAAGCTTTTGCATTTCTTGGAATCACTTTACTGGATCCATTCCTGTGTCAATGTCCAACGCCACAAATTTAGTGGAGTTTCAAGTTCATGGAAACAAACTAACCGGAAAAGTGCCAAATTTACAGAAGCTTGTTAACCTTGAATTATTGACACTTTACGACAATCAACTCGGAACTGGTACTGATGGCGACATGAGTTTTGTCTCGGACTTGACCAATGCCACAGAGTTAAAGTGGTTAATTTTGTACCTGAACAACTTTGGAGGGACGTTGCCCGCATCCATATCCAATCTCTCAACCAAGCTTGAAATCTTTGGGGTTCAAGGAAACCATCTATATGGGAACATCCCAGCTGGGATAAGCAACCTTGTCAACTTGCAGTTATTAAGTTTTGGGTTGAACAACTTCACAGGTAACATCCCTACAGGCATTGGAAAGCTTACAAGGATTGACCAATTAATTTTTGAAAGCAACCAATTATCAGGGAGCATTCCAATCTCTCTTGAAAATTTAACAATGTTAAGCAAACTTGAGTTGCAAGGAAATAACCTTCGAGGAAATATCCCTTCAAGCCTAGGGAAATGCCGCATGTTATTGCACCTGGATCTTTCTCAAAATAACTTGAACGGCACAATACCTCAAGAAGTTGTAGGCCTCACCTCCTTATCAATTTCTTTGAACTTGTCTGGAAACCAGTTAACAGGCTCTCTTCCAATGGAGATGGGAAAGTTGATCAATTTAGGCAAATTAGATTTTTCTGATAACATGTTATCAGGAGAACTTCCAAGTAGTCTTGGTTCTTGTGTGAATTTAGAAGTCATGCAATTGCAAGGCAACTTGTTCAATGGGTCAATTCCTTCCGCGATGGTTTCATTGAGAGGGATTCAATATTTGGACCTTTCTCGCAACAATTTGTCTGGTGAAATTCCACAATTTTTAGAGGGATTTGCTATGAACGGTTTGAACCTATCTTTCAATGAGTTTTGGGGAGAGGTACCAATTGAAGGTGTTTTTAAAAATGCAAGTTCGATTTCGGTTGCCGGAAACGCCAGGTTATGCGGTGGTATTTCTAATCTCCAACTTCCGAAGTGCAATTCCAAGGTGTCCAAGAATGGCAGATTGTCCCCTAGATTGATATTAATAATCTCTTTAGTATCCGGGTTTGCATTTCTTGGAATAGTGATGGTTATTTCCTTTTTATTTGTTCGTTCATCAAGAAAGAAACACAAAGGAACTGCACCTAGCACTTTGGGAAACTCTTGTTTGCAAGTGTCTTATAATACTCTGCTCAAAGCAACTGATGGGTTCTCTCCAGCTAATTTGATTGGCGTGGGTGGTTTTGGATCTGTGTACAAAGGACTTCTTGACGACTATGAAGCTCAGCCTGTTGCTGTCAAGGTATTCAACATGTTACGCCAAGGAGCCTCTAAGAGTTTCATAGCTGAGTGTGAAGCAATGAGAAATATCAGGCACCGAAATCTTGTCAAGGTTATTACTGCATGTTCAAGTGTTGATTTTCGTGGTAATGATTTCAAGGCTTTGGTGTATGAGTTCATGGACAACGGGAGCTTAGAGGAGTGGTTGTACCCAACTACGGGAGCACCCAAGAATTTGAGTCTTGTTCAGAGGCTCGACATCGCCATTGATGTTGCCTTTGCATTGGATTATCTTCATAATCAATGTGAGACACCAATTGTTCATTGTGATCTCAAGCCCAGCAATGTTCTTTTGGGAAAAGAATTGACGGGACATGTTTCTGACTTTGGCCTGGTAAGATTTCTCACAAACCAAACCAGTAATGTTCTGGGAAATCAAACAAGTTCCCTTGGAATAAGAGGATCTATTGGCTACGCCGCTCCAGGTAAAATCTCCGTATGATTCTTTGCTTTGTCTTTTATTCTTTTTTTCACTTGGCCTGGAAATAATGAGTTCAATATGTCGCTCACTTGTGATTTTTGAATTGTAGAGTATGGTATGGGAAGTAAGGTTGCAACAAACGGGGACATCTACAGCTTTGGCATTCTCTTGTTAGAGATGTTCACGGCGAAGAGGCCCACTGACCACATGTTTAGTGATAGTTTCAACCTCCATAATTTTGTCAAGGTGGCTTTACCTCAGCAGATTACTGAGGTTGCAGATTCACTGCTTCTTCACGAAGGAGGAAACTCAGGCGCAAGCACTAGTACTGCCACTCCCAGTCAATTCAGAATGACTACTGAAAAAATCCAAGTGTGTTTGAGTTTAATATTTGGAATTGGAATCGCATGTTCTGTGGAGTCCCCAGGAGACCGAAAGGATATCAACGAAGCTATATCTGAATTGCTATCTGCAAGGGTTGTTCTTCTTGGATAGAAGATTTTGCCACTATCTTATGGTGCGAGTGTGGCGGTCAACTGTGCTTCTTCAGATAATGAAAATAAAGGGGCGCCTCCTGTTTAAGGCTGCCTCAATCCTTACTTTATTAATAATTTTGTCTTCTTCTTTTTCAATTTTCGTTTCCTGCCTCTTGCAGCAGTGAAGTTTTATCGCTGAAGCTGATCAAAAAATCGAAGTGTACACCAATGATGTACATTATTGTATATATTGTGTAAACCTTTATCTTTAGTCTCAAATTTCAAACACTTGATCCGAGTCGTATGACTAAGATATAAACTTGACAAACAAGACGGTAATTGAAGAACCAAACTGGATTCTGAGCCTCTACATTTACCATCCATGCATGCACTTAGAAATTTTGACACTTTGATCAGTCCAATAATATTACTTAGTGCACAATTTGAATTGTAGAGTACGGTATGGGAAGTGAGGCGTCAACAAATGGGAATGTGTACAGCTTTTGGCATTTTCTCTTGTTAGTGATGTTGTAATTCAACTGCAATCCATCAGGAACCTTCTTCTTGGCTAGAAGCTTTTTCTTATGTGCTTCCTCTTTTGATTGTTGCTATAAATTAAGGCTGACAAATTGCAAATAAGGATCACCAATGAGATACGTTGTGTGTAAACTGTAATGCAAGGTCATGTAAAATATATGGCACCTGAATTTAGTCTGATCACAGTTAACTATCGCATAACCATTGTTGTTTTCAACATATTCCAACTATCTTCGCTGAATTTTCAACAGCGTTTACTTGGGAGCGGCTGGGAAGCGACTCCGATGACCCCGTGACCTACTGGTTCGTGACCCTCCGGTGACCACAACCGGTTCGACAAAATGCTTGAACGGGCTGTCCAAACTAGGTGCGGCTTGCAGCGTTTTTAACTCTAAAATGCCTAAAAAGGTATATAAAAAATAAAACCCCCAAACCCAGACAACCAGGAGGCCAAGATATCCCCTAAACATTCAAATCCGATCCCTATTAATCTTTTGTCACCTAAGTTGTATAGTCACAACTACATACCATTCTAACCCACCAAATTCATGATAATCTTGATATGATAATTACTTGGCACACATAGCATCACTGAAAATCGTAATTAAGTTGGCATAAACTATGTACTACTAACTAGATAGGGGCATAGGGACGAGGAAGAAAACTATGAACTCGACTGAGTATGTATAGGTTGGTATAACGATAATGATAATAAACATTAACGTAATAAGGCTACACGTTTTTTTGGTCGAAATAAAATAATATATACTTATTTAAATGTTAAAATAAAATACTTTCACCTTCCTCTCCTACTTCTCTCCTTTCCCATTTTCACTCGCATGCATAGCATAGGATTGCATACGTAAGAATGACAAGTTGCTAGGGTATGAAGACTGACAAGTTGCTAAAGTGGGGTGTGATAAGCAAAACAACAGCAGCCGTTACTGTTGGAAGCCAGCAAATCGTGTTGGAAAAACTACTCAACTTGGTGCTGATCATATTTCAATTTTGTTTAAAAGTATAATATTTTATATGCAGTTAACATCTTCCCTCTTTCTATGATCCTATCCTTTCAGGCTATAAATTACTTCGTCATGCGGAAACTGAAACTTGCCAATTCAAAACTCATACGAAATGGGAATTTTGGTTATGAAATCCATCTTATCATACTCACTTTTCATTGCAATTTTCAGCTTTTCTTTAGGGTTGGGGTTGCAGCAGGAATGGAATGAGACTAATAGGTTTGCACTGCTACCCTTCAAAGCTCAGATAAACCAGGATCCTCATCAAGTCATGAGCTCCTGGAATGAATCCACTCACTTCTGCCAATGGCATGGTGTCACCTGTGGTCGGCGACATCGTCAGAGGGTCACTGCACTGGACCTACAATCCCAAAATTTGGGGGGTTCCATATCTCCACACATAGGTAATTTAACCTTCCATAGAAAGCTATTTCTCCAAAATAATAGCTTTGTTCATGAAATCCCTCCAGAAATCGGTCGTTTGCGTAGATTTCAGTTTTTTCTTCTTTTCGATAACTCGCTCAGTGGCTCTATCCCTGCCAACATTTCCACTTGCTTTAACCTCATCTTTCTCTATTTGGGTGGCACCAATCTAGTGGGTAAAATTCCTCGACAACTTGGCTTCTTATCGCAACTTTACGCATTTGCTTTAGACCAAAATAATTTTATAGGAGAGATCCCTTCTTCCCTGGGAAACCTTACAGCTCTCGATAGAATTTCTTTTCTCTATAATTACGTGGTAGGAAACATCCCTACTTCTCTAGGCCAATTGAAGCAATTAACATTCCTCTCAGCTGCTGCAAATAGGTTTTCTGGTCTCTTTACTCCTTCCATCTATCATCTCTGGTCTCCAAACTTTTGATGTAACGCAAAACCAACTTCAAGGAAGCGTTCCCTCAAACTTTGACAAAACACTTCCGAATCTCTTATACTTTAGCATCGGCGCCAACCAGTTCACTGGATCCATTCATCTCTCGATATCCAATGCTACAAGTCTAGTGGATTTCGTAGTTGCAGATAACAAACTGACCGGAGGGGTGCCAAATCTTCAAAAGCTTCACAACCTCCAAAAATTCAGCATTTTCCCGAACCAACTTGAAAGCAATGAACCGGGTGACTTGAGGTTTGTGTCAGACTTAACTAATGCCACGGAACTGATATGGTGCATTTTCAGTGATAACAATTTCGAAGGGACGTTGCCCGCTTCAATATCCAATCTGTCAAAACTTGAAATACTTCAGGTCGGTGGAAACAAACTACATGGAAGCATCCCTGCTGGGATAGGGAATCTGGTTAACTAGCAAGCACTAACTTTGGGAGCAAACTCCTTCACAGGTAGCATCCCCATTCAACTTGGGAAGCTTACAAAGCTTGGGGTATTGTATGGTCAAGACAATGAACTAACAGGGAGCATTCCTTTGTCTTTAGGAAATTTAACCAAGTTAACTGAACTCACATTGCAACGAAATAATCTTCAGGGAGGCATCCCTTTGAGCTTAGGGGAGTGCCACGGGCTTCTAGAATTAGATCTTTCTCAAAATAACCTTGATGGTGCAATACCTCTACAACTCCTAAATGGCCTCAAGATCTTTGAACTTGTCAAGAAACCAATTAACTGGTTCTCTTCCGATGGATCTTGGAAAGTTGAGCAGTTTAGGTAAACTAGACTTTTCTGATAACAGGTTATCAGGAAACCTTCCAAGTAGCCTTGGTAGTTGTGTGAGTTTAGAAGTCCTGCACTTGCAAGGTAACTTCTTCAATGGGACCATTCCATCATCTATGAGTTCACTAGGAGGGATTCAAGATTTAGACCTTTCTCGCAATAATTTGTCAGGTGAAATTCCACAGTTTTTAGAGGGCTTTCGCGGCTTGAAGAAATTGAATCTATCTTTCAATGAGTTTTGGGGAGCAGTACCAGTCGATGGAGTTTTCAAAAATGCAACTGCAACTTCGGTTGTTGGAAACAGTAGGCTTTGTGGCGGTATTGAGGATCTCCGGCTTTCCATATGCAACTCCAACGAGACTAAGGGAAGAGGTTTGTCTCCTCGATTCAAATTAACCATCTGTATGGTATGTGGGTTTCTTGGAATAGCTATGGTCCTGTCATTATTATTTCTTTGTTCGCTGATAAAGAAAAGAAAATCAATTGCACAAAGTACTTTGGCTAACTCTATTTTGCAAGTGTCATACAATACTTTCTTAAAGGCTACCAATGGGTTCTCTTCAACTAATTTGATTGGTGTGGGAAGCTTTGGGTCTGTGTACAAATGAGTTCTTGACAATGATAGAGCTCAACTTGTTGCTGTGAAGGTTTTTAACCTGTTACTCCGAGGAGCTTCAAAGAGTTTCTTAGCCGAATGTGAGGCAATGAGAAACATCAGGCATCGAAATCTTAACAAAACTTAATTTAACTGCATGTTCAAGAGTTAACTTTCGTGGAAATGATTTCAAGGCTCTAGTTTATAAATTCATGGGCAATGGGAGCTTGGAGGAGTGGATTCATCCAACCGATGGACCAGAAGAGGTAACTGATGCATCCAAGAAATTGAATCTTCTTCAGAGGCTAGGCATCGCCATTGATGTTTCTTGTGCACTAGACTATCTTCATAATCATTGTGAACCACCAATAGTTCATTGTGATCTCAAGCCAAGCAATGTTCTTTTGGACAACGAGTTGGTTGGGCATGTTACTGACTTTGGACTTGCAAGATTCCTCTCAAAACGAGCCATCAACGTCTCTACAAATGATCAAACAAGTTCCATTGGATTGAGAGGATCAATCGGTTATGTTGCTCCGGGTATTTTACTATATGCTCCATTTATTGTATTTTTTCTTCTTTTATTTTGCAATATTGTGACAATATGTTTTGATGTTTGAAACGTATGTAGAGTATGGTATGGGAAGTGAGGTTTCAACAAATGGGGATGTCCACAGCTTTGGCATTCTCTTGTTAGAGATGTTTACAGGGAAGAGACCCACTGACCGCATGTTTAGTGACGGCTTGAACCTTCGTAATTTTGTGAAGGCGAATTTTGGTGGACAAGTTACAGAAGTTGCAGATTCCATACTTGTTCAAGTAGGTATCCCTACCAACACCACCCCCAACCAATGCAGCGCAAGATCTGAAAAAGTGGAGGAGTGCTTGAGTTCGATGCTTCGAATTGGAGTCTCTTGGTCTGTTGAATCCCCAAGAGACCGAAAAGAGATAAGTGATTTTGTTAATGAATTGCAATCCATCAGGGTTATTCTTCTTGCGTAGAAAGTTATTAGCTTTTTTCGTTTACTTCAAAGCCCTTCGTTTCTTTTAAACTTTTTTTTTTTTTTTTAATTATGTACCTCCCTTTAATGACTGAGGATGTATGATAACTTAGCATACACCTTCATGCCATATCAGCTATAGTTAGTTACAAATCAGTTAGTTGGTTAAGTGAGCTAAAAGGAGAGAGAGTGAGTGCTGAGTCCTCATTTGTAAGCTGCTATATATAGCAACCTATATGTAATAGCTCATTACCGTTACAAGCAATAAAGATCATTCCTCTCTCTATCTTCTCTCTCTCTCTCTCTCTCTCTCTCTCTCTCTCTCTCTCTCTCTCTCTCTCTCTCTCTCTCTCTCTCTTCATCTTCTTCTTCATTGTTCTTCTATATTTTCTGATTTCTTTCTACTAAATTCATATGAAGTTTATGATTGTTAAGACCCTTGAAGTGTTATCACTGCTATAAATAAAAGGTTATGAATGGCAAGTAAATATTCACTAGTGAGATTGCATATATTCTCTAATCTCAAATCGTTTAAAATTTTATTTGATCAACTAAATCATATGAGAGAGGATGAGCCTTAACGCAACAGAAATGTTGCTTCTTTGTGACCAAAAGATCATAGGTTTAAGTCGTGAAAACAACATCTTTTGCAAAACAAAGGATAAGACTGCATACTATATATGTTCTCCCCGACCTTCGCAAAACAAGAAGCTTTATTGACTTGGGAACTGGATCATATGAGAGCCGCCAGAAACCAAGTTGATGAACCCGGCTTCACCTTGTGCTAGTTTGGACCACGTTTCAATTGCATGAAAACGACGTTATGAATGGCTGCCAAAGATGCTGTTTCCTTGTCGGTCCTAACCTTTGTAAATTATTGGAATTTTATCCAAATGCAATTAAAAGCTTTTTTGTATGATATATCTCACCTTGGCACAATTGGGTGTTCTTCTCACTATCTTTATACCATGGCAGAAAATGTGCTATGTCTAGCAAAAAAGTAGAACCATGAGCTGGGGACCTTGACCTACCAGACATACTCAATTTGACAAACTGATAAGCTTCCTGTCACCAACTCCCAAATCACAAATAAGTCCATAAGTATTCTGGTCTTTCTTTCCCTTCCATTCCTTAATTTCTCATTATCGAAAAGTTTCATATATCGAAATTTCTATCATATGAACATTATTTGAAGCCTTCGATAAACATAAGGGTTTGTATGACAAGCAATTCTCTTAATATATACCTCTACTTACTTAAAGAAACCCAAAAACAAACTGCGGGTCTAGTACATTAAAGACTTTTTGGTTCTTTGTATGTATAAAAAGAAAAAGGCTCCTAAGCTTTTTTGTTTAAGATTTTTATTTATTTATAAATATGAGCATCAATTGTGATTTGCTATGCACCTATCAGAAGTAGGTGTACCCTACTAACTCAAGTGTTCGGAGGGTGCTTTAATATAACCTTAATATTGAGATGATAATAAATCTCTTGCCCCCTTTACTTAATTTAGTGTTGGAACTCTCCCAAAATATTTTACTAAAAGTCTTTAATACATGTCAAAATTTGTCTACATTTCAAAACTTCCTTGTATTTTAGCATACGAAAATTTGCACCATCTAATAAAAATTGATTTATAAATAGATTTATACAACAAGACCAATTTCTCAACATTTGTAGAGATACGGATATTCACCCAAAAAAAATAAGAGACATGGTACAATTCAAATGTAGCAACTTATCATACAATATATACTGCTAGCATCTAATTCTTTAAAAATTTATCTAAGTATAGTAAACTAGTTGATAGTTTAACCATGAACTAAGGCGTATCTGTTGATCAGAGCCAATGCATTGTTAGTCAATTGTGCAATATTCACAACTCTACCCCTCACAACAGTCTTCAAATTACTGTTCATCCCATTTCCACCAAACCCATCGGAGCATGTTGTCTCATCCATCAAAGCAGCACTAACCTAAGTTTGCACATCACTTATCATGACCTGAAAATCCTAGCTCCTAAAGTTGCCCATCTCAGCTATGGACCTTTGAATGGCATCAACCAAATCACTTAACTCTTTGATGCAATCGCTCATGGCTCTGACTTCTCTCGGCTTCATGCCATGACTTTGGGAGAGCTTCAACATCATGGTAGAGGTTGATTTGGCGGAGGCAAGGGTCATGCTAAGGGTTGTGTTGGCCATAAGTTTAGGGATTGTTTGAATTGCACTTGAATGTCTTGAAAGAGAAGTAAGGCAAAGCTTTGGGTAGGTTGTTGCACTGCAAGATGCTTTCATGAATTCATTGTTGGTTTTTTGTGCAAGGTCTCTTGCTGCTGAGGTTGAAGAGAATATGTAGCAACTAATAAGAAGTTCTATGAGAAAAGATGTGACAAAATGGCTAGAAGATGAGAATGCCATCTCTTTTGTGTCTTTGATTTTGGAGGAAGTGGAGTAGCAGTGTAGAGAGTGTGAAGAGAGTGTAAAGCTATAGATAAGGAAGATCAATCCAATGGCTAAGAAGATGTCATCTATCAAGAGATTAAGTGATATGGTTGTGAGTTTGTTAAGGATTTGTTACTTGCTGTGCAAGTAGTGTAAAATGTATAAATAGGAACTTTTGTATTCATTCAGTAATAAAGTAAAAAGAAGCAATAACAGAAGTACAATTCTCTCTCTCTACATTCTGTGTTTACAATCTTTCTCTCTCTCTAAAACACCATTGATAATCTTCAAGCTCAAGGTAGTGAAATCAACATGGTATCATCGCTGGTGGTGACGTCTCTTCGATCCTGATCTTCTTTTCTGCTTCCGCATTCATCTCTGCGATTTCTGACTTTGCATTCCTCTTTGTGACTTTCTGGTATGCAATTCTTCTTCTGGAGTGCTATAGTGTATTTGCCTTCTCCTCTTGATTTCAAAGCTTGATTATTGCACATCAGGTGTTTGATGAAATGTGTATGTGAATTTTTCTCTATGATAATCTTCTCTGTGTAATTGAAATTGCTATTTGTCTTAAGCTTGATCAAGAACGGTCTTAAAACTCTAAATTCTTGCAGGAAATTTTGTTTGCTTATACGATTTGCGAAACGATGGTGACTGCTGCACAGCTCCAAATTGTGCAATCTCCAATTACGAATTTAATTCCTACTGTGTCCACATATGTGACTGTGAAACTAGATGATACAAATTACCTAGTTTGGCATTATCAAATGCAATTGCTTCTTGAAAGTCATGGAATTCCTAGCTTTGTGGATGGTTCTTGACAGTGTCCTACTAGGTTCATTGATAATCCTGATCTTTAAGGTGTTAAAACTGAAGCATATCAGATATGGAAGATGCATGATCATGCTTTAATGCAACTGATCATTGCAACTTTGTCTCCTACTGCCATGTCTTGTATAATTGGTTGTACCAATGCAAGTGAAATGTGGATGAGTCTTCGCAATAGGTTTTCCACTGTCACCAAAGCTAGTATATTTTAATTGAAAACTGAGCTTCAAAATATTAAGAAGGGAACTGAGTCAATTTCTCAGTACCTCCAAAGGGTAAAGGATGCCCATGATCATTTGGCTGCTGTTGGAGTATCATTTAATGATGATGATATTGTCATCATTGCTCTCAAAGGGTTACCTTCCGAGTACAATACCTTTAGAACAGTGATTTGAGGAAGAGACAATGTTATCTCACTAAAAGACTTTCGAGCTCAGTTGATTGCTGAGGAAGCTGTTCTTGAAAACTCTTCACTATCCAATTCTTTTGTTCCTACTATGCTAGCTCAAGGACATAGCTCTAAAAGGAAAGGATTACTACTTGCAGAGGATTCTTCTACAAATGGCAATCAGTCATCACAATATCAAACTGGATGTTCTTCTTCTTCCAATACTGGTGGACACAACTATAGTTCTAGAGGTTTTAACAATGGATGACAACAATATAGTTCTGGAAGCTATACTAGTGGTGGCAATAACTACAATTCTGGCGGTTTTAGAGGTTCTAATTTCAGAGGTCGATCTTGAGGTCGAAATCATTTTGGGAATCCAAGATTTTCTAGTAACAATTACAATAATGGTCTTGGTATTCTTGGTCCTGCAAGACCTCATGTTTCACTTGCTCTGAGCATGGCAATGATGTGCCCATTTGTCAGATTTGTACCAAAAGAGGTCACATTGCCTCTAATTGTTTTCAAATGCACTCTCTTCCATCAGTTTCGTCTTCACCCATCTAGTGCCAAATTTGCTGGAAATTTGGGCACTCTGCACTTCAATGCTATCACAGGGCAAACTTTTCTTATCAAGGAAGATCCCCACCATCCAATCTCACTGCCATGAATGCCACTTATCAACCTTCTGCACCACAAAAACGGTTTTGGGTGGCTGACACTGGAGCTACATCCCATATGACCTCTGAATTGGCAAACCTCAATCTTGCAACTCCTTTCACAGGCACTAATACTATCACCACAGCTAGTGGTTCAGGTTTGGAAATATCCCATATTGGTTCTTTAACTTTAAAAGCTCCTAAATATGCTTTTCATTTGAAAGAAATTTTACATGTTCCAAAACTATCACATCATCTGTTATCAGTATATTAGCTCTGTAAAGATAATCATTGCCGGTTTATATGTGATGAGTTTTGTTTCTAGATACAGGACAAGATCATAGGGATAATCCTTCTTCAGGGGCTGTGTAGAGCTAGATTGTACCTGATTCCTTTTCACATACCTCCATTCCTACTCAAGCAAGCATATCAAGCATCTCACCTACCTAAACACCAACATTGTCTCATTGGTCATCAAGTCAACACATCTCTTTGGCACAACAGATTAGGCCACCCTTAAAATCTTATTGCTGCAACAATGTTGAACCAATCTCAGGTTCCATTTGCATTAGACCAATCTAGGCATGTGTGTATCTCTTTTTTAGAGGGCAAAATAACTAAATTGCCTTTCACTTTTCCTGTCAATAAAATTGTACAACCCTTAGAAGTTATCCATATTGATGTCTGGGGGCCATCTCCTACATTGTCAATAGAAGGTTTCAGGTTTTATGTTACTTTTATTGATGAATGTACCAGATTTACCTGGATCTTTTCATTAATGAATAAAAGTGAGGTGTTTCAAACATTTGTGCAGTTTCATGCTTTCGTAGTCTACTCAGTTTTCCAGTGCAATAAAAATCTTTCAAAGTGATGGTGGTGGTGAATTTTCCAGTAACAAGTTCAAACAATTTTTACTCGACAAAGGCATAATACATCAAAAATCTTGCCCCTATACACCTCAACAGAATGGCCTTGCTGAGAGAAAGCATGGGCACATTGTTGAAACTGTCCTCACTCTTATGCATACCTCCAAATTACCTTCCCAGTTTTGGTTTCATGCTGTGCTACTGCAATTTATTTGATAAACAAAATGCCATGTACTACTTTGTTTATGAGATCTCCCTATTTTTGTCTATTTGGTAAATTTCCCATCTTAACCCATTTAAAAACATTTGGATGTAGTTGTTTTCCTTTATTGAGACCTTACAATACTACTAAACTTTAACCCAAAATTGCCCAATGTGTGTTTCTAGGTTATGCAGGATAATACAAGGGATACATTTGTTTTCAACCAAATACAGGTAAATTGTATGTGTCCAGGCATGTCATGTTTGATGAATACACTTTTCCTTACACAACTTTGGTGTCTAAAACTCCTCCTTTGGAGTGTGTTTCTAAATGTACTTCTTCTCAGTTTATTCCACTTCTCATAGACAATAACACAGTGGTTTCCTGTCCACCATCATCTTCATCATTAGCACTATCACAATTCATTCATTCATCATCATCTACATCATCTACATCCTTAACCCCTCGAGCTTCAGAGTCATTTGTTGAACCAACTCGTGCTTCAGAGCCTTTGAATGTACCTTTTTCAGCTCCATACTTGTTCACTACTATACCTGCATTTCCTACCTCTATCACAGCTACACAGTCCCAAATCCCTGATGATCTTGATTTTTAATCTAAAAATCTTACTGTTGTGCTTCCAGTTTCTTCAGTCAATCTTCATCCTATGCAAACTCGGTCAAAAAGTGGGATTGTTAAACGAAAAGCATACTCAGCTACTGTAACTTCATCTGAGCATTCTATGGTTGAGCCTACCACTTATAAATCTGTTAGTAAAATACCAGAATGGCAATCAGCTATGCAAGATGAGATCACTGCTCTACATTTGCAACAGACCTGGGATCTTGTTCTCCTTCCAAGTGGAAAAAATCTTGTTGGTTGCAAGTAGGTTTATCAACTCAAAAAGAATCCTAATGGGTCCATTTCCAGGTATAAGGCATGGTTAGTTGCCAAGGGTTATAGCCAATAGAAGGGAATAGACTATAGTGAGACCTTTAGTCCAGTGGTCAAACTAACTACAGTTCGATTAATTCTGGCTCTTGCTGCTCAGTTTCGTTGGGATTTGAGACAATTAGATTGTAAAAAATGCATTTTTGCATGGTGACTTAAATGAAGAGGTGTATATGGCTCAACCTCCGGGGTTTTTCAGTAATGATCATCCATCTCACTATGTTTGCAAGCTAAAAAAATCGTTATAGGGTTTAAAACAGGCTCCTCAAGCTTGGAATGAGAAGTTTACAAGTTTTCTTCTAGGTTTGGGTTTTCAACCTTCCCTTGCAGATCCCTCTCTCTTTGTCAAACAAACTGAGTGTGGTATTGTCGTGTTATTACTATATGTTGATGATATCATTATAACTGGTAGTAGTTCAAGTGACATTTCCACAGTGATCTTGGCTCTTACTCAACAGTTTGATATGAAGGACTTGGGCCAACTCAGTTATTTTCTTGGATTACAAATACAGTATCAGTCTGATGGTTTATTTATTTCCTAATCCAAATATATAAAGGATCTCTTGCAAAAGTTTGATATGCAAAATGCCAAAGCCTATGCTACTCCTTGTCTTCCTTCTCACAGGCTTCTTAAGGACGAAGGGCAGTCCTACCACAATCCCGAACAGTATTGTAGTGTAGTTGGTGCATTGCAATATCTGACATTTACTAGGCCCGACATTGCATTTGCAGTAAATCAATGTTGTCAATTTATGCATCATCTCATGGATTCTCATGTAGTTGCAGTCAAACGAATTCTTTGTTATCTCAGTGGTACGATGACTTATGGCATACATTTTAAACATAGTCAATTGTCTTTGCAAGCATATAGTGATGCTGATTGGGCTGGCGATCCAAACGACCGTCGTTCAACTTCAGGTTATATTGTCTATCTCGGTACCAGTCCAATTTCTTAGGCATCCAGGAAACAACACACTGTTTCTCGGTCGTCTACTAAGGTAGAATAAAGAGCTTTAGCTATAACTGCTGCTGAAATGGCTTGGATACGACAACTTCTATGTTATTTGCAGGTTCCTTTATATGCTCCTCCAACGCTATATTGTGACAATATCTCTACTATAGCACTGTCTTCTAATCCAGTTTTTCACTCTAGGGTGAAACATATTGAGATTGATTATCATTTCGTTCGTGAAAGAGTAGTTCGAGGAGATTTGGCTGTTCATCATGTGTCTTCAAAGGAGCAATTTGTCGATATCCTTACAAAGGGTCTGTCTATATCTTTGTTTCAACATCATTGTGCCAATCTCATGCTTGGTTGCACCACCCATGTGATTGAGGGGGATGTAAAGCTATAGATAAGGAAGATCAATCCAATGGCCAAGAAGATGCCATCTGTCAAGAGATTAAGTGATATGGTTGTGAGTTTGTTAAGGATTTGTTACTTGCTGTGCAAGTAGTGTAAAGTGTATAAATAGGAACTTTTGTATTCATTCAGTAAGAAAGTGAAAAGAAGCAATAACAAGAAGTACAATTCTCTCTCTCTCTACATTTTGTGTTTACAATCTTTCTCTCTCTCTAAAACACCATTGATAATCTTCAAGCTCAAGGTAGTGAAATCAACAGAGAGTAGGAAGGGAATGACACTAATTTATAGAACCAATTCTAAAAAGCACATGGAAAAGTCTTTTTTTGGTCCCAAAAGCTGGAGGCAGGTACATCTGTTTCCTAAACATAATTTCGAGTTGCAAGTTGGTTTTGTTGGTTTCTCACAACTTGCTGCAATTGGTTCAATTGGGGTCTAAACTCTAAAGCAATGTGAAACCAAAGAGCCTTACTCGAACTTGTCTAAATCATTGTAATCAATCGATCCCAACTTGATCGGTGAGTGAAGGCATTCAACTTGTGCGTAATTTGCATCCGTCTTCCTGCAGCTTGAGATTTTCAGTCGACATCTATACAAATAACTCTCTCTCCTTAAACGTAGCACTTGCGAAAGAGATTTAATGCATGGAAGGGTCCAGACTCCACAGGGATTTTTCGTAGATATATGGGTAATGTTAGGGAGACTACAATTAAGTTATTACTTAAATGTTGATTAACGTATTTATTTTTTATTAGTGACACATCACATAATTTATAAATATAGTCTAAAAAAATGATATACCTAACATTACTCTAGATATATATATCAAAATATCACAACTATCAATCGATAGATATCAAAATTAATCATGTGGGATGGTTGAGGGCAAAATACATATCAAAGTATAGGAGTGCAACCAAAACAAAAAGGTGGAGGTAGGAGTAAATGGGAACAAAAAAAGGAACTGGTGCATTTGATTCTTTTTTTTCCTTTTTTTGAGAAATGTTAAGGGGACTCTCTCTAAAGTGGAATTCTTCGTGGACTATCTGTTACCTCACAGTTTAACGTCAATTCTTGTGTCAACATAATAAAATGTTGTACCAAAAAAATGAGATGACTAAGAGTCTATGGCGAGTCACCCTATCCAAAAATTTATCGATGAGTAGACTCTTGTTCCCTATATCTAACTAAATAGGTGCAGCCACTTATTCCAATACAAATTTAGATTATGCAAAGTCCATCAAAAATTAATCATGCAATAAATAAAAGTTTATGAATTGCAAGTAAATACTCACCAATAAGATTGCATATAATTCTCTGATCTCAAATCATTAAAATTGATCAACTGAATCATATGAGAGCCTCCAGAAACCAAGTTGATGAACCCGACTTCACCTTGTGTTAGTTTGTACCACATTTCAATTTCATGAATAACGTTATAATTAAATGGCTCCAAAGCTGCATTTTCCTTGTTGGTCCTAACCTTTGTACATTATTGGAATTTTCTGTCCACTGTAGTTGACTGACAGCTCATCAATGGCGGCTCATCATAATTGTTAAGAAGGATTGGAATGCAATCATTGTAATAAGTTGAAGAGTTAGTTCAAGTTGGTTGAAAAAGCTTGTGAGCTAAGTAATGTGCTCAACTATATAAAACATTGCAAAACAGATTGTACAATTCATTCAGAAAGAGCAATACAAAAGTTATAATCATTATCCCTCTCCATTCTTCTCCTCTCTGTAAAGCTTCATTCCTTCTGCTTGTACGTGTTCGATCTTTCTCATTTTCTCATCACAATTGGGTGTTCTTGTTGCCTATCTTTTTACCATGACAGAAAATGGTCTTTCTTTCCTTTCCACTCCTTGGTTTCTCATTATCGGAAAGTTTTTTATTTATCCGAAATTCTATCATATGAACATTTTTTGAAACGTTAGATCAACATAAGGGTTTGTAGGCAAGCAATTCCCTTAATCTGTACAAGTACTTAATTAAAGAAACTGAAAAACTACCTGTTGGTTTATTACATTAAAGAATTTGTCAAATCCTACATGGAAATGCCATTGTGCAATGCATATTTGACATAAAAAATTACTGTACGAGCTCTCCCAAAACATTTTACTAAAAGTCTTTAATACATGTCCAAATTTGTCTACTTTTCAAAACTTCCTTGTATTTTAGCATATGCAAATTTGCACCATCTAATAAAAATTGAATCCATAAATTTATTTATACAATACAAGACAAATTTCTCTGCACTTGTAGAGATACGTATATTCACTCAAATAAAAAAATAAGTAACAAACACACGTACAAACCGAATGTAGCAACTTATCTTATCATACAGTATATACTTCTTTAAAAAATAATCCAAGTACAATAGACTAGTTGACTGGTTTAACCATGAACTGAGGCGTATCTGTTGATCAAAGCCAAGGCATTGCTAGTCAATTGTGCAATATTCACAACTCTGCCCCTCACAACAGTCTTCAAATTACTGTTCATACCATTTCCACCAAACCCATCGGAGCATGTTGTCTCATCCGTCAAAGCAGCACTAACCCAAGTTTGCACATCACTTATCATGAGCTGAAATTCCGAGCTCCTAAAGTTGCCCATCTCAGCTATGGACCTCTGAATCACATCGACTGAATCACTTAACTCTTCGATGCAGTCCCTCATGGCTCCAACTTCTCTAGGCTTCATGCCATGACGTTGGGAGAGCTTTGACATCACGGTAGAGGTTGATTTGGCGGAGGCAAGCGTCACGGTGAGGGCTGTGCTGGCCATAAGTTTAGGGCTTGTTTGGATTGCACTTGCATGGCTTGAAAGAGATGTAAGGCAAAGCTTTGGGTAGGTTGTTGCACTGCAAGATGTTTTCACGAATTCATTGTTGGTTTTTTGTGCAAGGTCTCTAACCGCTGAGGTTGAAGAGAATATGTAGCAACTAATAAAAAGTGCTACGAGAAAAGATGTGACAAAATGGCTAGAAGATGAGGATGACATCTCTTTTGTGTCTTTGAATTTTGGAGGCAGTGGAGTAGTAGTGAAGAGAGTAGGAATGGGAATGACACTAATTTATAGAACCAATTCTAAGAGGCACATGGAAAAGCTCTTCTTTTTTTTTTTTTGGGGGGGGGGGGGGGTGGTGGGGTGGGGTTGGTGTTGTGTCGGGTGGTGGCCCTGGTGGGGGTGTCCCAAAAGCTGGAGCTACATCTGTTTTTTATAATATCGAGTTGCAAGTTGGTTTTGTTGGTTTCTCATCAATAAGAGGCACATGGAAAAGCTCTTTTTTTTTTTTTTTTTGGGAGGGGGGGGGGGGTGGGGTGGTGGGGTGGTGGGGTTGGTGTTGTGTCGGGTGGTGGGGGTGTCCCAAAAGCTGGAGCTACATCTGTTTTTTATAATATCGAGTTGCAAGTTGGTTTTGTTGGTTTCTCATCAACTTGCTGCACCTTGGTCAATTGGGGTCTAAACTCCAAAGGAACGCGAAACCAAAAGAGCCTTACTCGAGCTTATCAAAATTATTGTAATCAGTTGATCCCAACCAACTTGATCAGTGAGTGAAGACATTCAACTTGTCCATAATTTGCATGTCTTCCCGCAACTTGAGACTTTCAGTCGACATGTATACAAATAAATCTCGCTCCTTAAACGTAGCACTTGCGATCAGGATTTAATGCATGGAAGGGTCCGGACTCCACAGGGATATCGAAAGGAAGATATTTCTTAGATATATAGGTAATGTTAGGGAGACTATCAATTTAAACCATATTATATAAGTCATATGGCATGGTTGTTGATAATTAAATTATTATTTAAATGTTGATTAACATATTTATTTTTCGTTAGTAACGCATCACATAATTTACAAATATAGTCTAATAAAATTGATATACTAAACATTACTCAAAATATCACAACTATCAATCGATAGATATCAAAATTAATCATGTGGGATGGTTGAGGGCAATACACATATCAAAGTGGAGATAGGAGTGCAACGAAAACAAAAAGGTGGAGGTAGGAGTAAATGGGGACAAAAGGAACTGGTACATATGATTCTTTTTTACAGAAATGCTAAGAGAATTCTTTCAAACATGAGACTCTTTATAAACTCTTTATCACTTTACAATTTAACATCAATTCCCGTACTAAGATTATAAAATGTTATATCAAAAACATGAGATGAAAGAGAATCTACGAAGAGTCGCCCTACCCAAAAAATTTATCTTTGAATAGACTCGCGTACCCAATATCTAACTTAATAAAAGGTGCAGTCTGTTATTCCAATACAAGTTTAGATTATGCAAAGTCCAGAAAAAATTAATCATGCAATAAATAAAAGGTTATGAATGGCAAGTAAAATATTCACTAATAAGGTTGCATATAATTCTCCAATCTCAAATCATTTAAAATTTTAATTGATCAACTGAATCATACGAGAGCCGCCAGAAACCAAGTTGATGAACCCGACTTCACGTGCTAGTTTGCGCCCAATTTGGCTTCCAGAGCTACCCTTTCCTTGTCAGTTGTCAGTCCTAATCTTTGTAAATTATTAGAACTTTATGATGACTATAGTTAGACTGACAGCTCATCAATGCCAGCTCATCAAAATCGTTAACAAGGATTGGATGATGTAATAAGTTGAATAGTTAGTTCGAAGAAATTTTTAGTTATGACGGGAACACGAGTGGTACATCTTGTGTTTTTATGTAAGTAGTGAGAAATTTTATTTTTTAAGTTATTAACTTTTTAACACACATATCTCACCATTTATATAGCGATATGTGGTGTACCATCCACTGTGATGGTCACACTGAAAAATCTCTTATTAGCTAGAGTTGGTTGAGAAAGCTTATGAGCCAAGGAATGTGCTCAACTACATAGACCACTGTAAAACTATGGTGAAGAGAGTAGGAAGGGAATGACACTAATTTATAGAACCAATTCTAAGAGGCACATGGAAAAGTCTTTTTTGGGCCCGAAAGCTAGAGATACATCTATTATTTAACATAATATCGAGTTACAAGTTGGTTTTGTTGGTTTCTAATAGGGATTTTACCACACGCTCAAAAGGGTTAAAAATTCTTATAATACTTGTAAGAATGACAAGGTTATTGTACTATAAACAGATCCCGCAAGATCGTTCTCCACAAGAATTATTAAATAATTTGAAGCAAACGAAATTCCAATTAATTATTGTAAAGTAGAAAGTTGAGATGATTGATTTTATGACCTAGTTAAATTAAAACGAATTTATTAATAAAAGTAAACTAATCTGCAATATTAAAGGTGAAGAAGGAGGAAACAGTTTTGTAGAAATCAAATTAAGAAAGCACTAGGATTCCGCCGTCACCTTAACAATCCTATATAGTTCTCTCAATTACTTATGACTTATACATGCATATTTCAAATGTTAGGTTTTCCTAATATATGCCTACTTGGACCCCCAACATAGAGCGTATATCAAACATGCAATCCGTCTGTGGTATTCAGATCAAATCTAAAAATGCATGACTTATTAAGTTATGTGAAATCTTTTGACAAACCATGCAACCCTCAAGATGTGGTATTCATCTGAAGTGAACTTGTACATATTAATCACAAGAAGCCTTCATCAATTTTAGGGACCGACCTCCGACCAAAATTACATCAAATTACTTGTCTAAACATCCTAATGGTGATCAAGCATCAAGACAATTAGATAGTTTAACCCAATGATTAATAATTCAAAAACTTGCATGCATATAATCATAAGCAAATTGAAGAGAAACTACATATTCTTGCCAATGCTCGTGCCCTCACCCTAGCAAAAGAGAATTAGTTACGCATAATCATAATAAAAATCATAGAGTTCTTTATTGAAATAATAAAAGATTGAAAACACCTAGAATGGAAGAAGTCTGAAAATCTCTACGCTTGGCCAAATTCCTCTCTTCAAGAACGCACAGAGAAGAAGTTTTTTAAAGAATGAAGCCGGCCAACCTTATTTAACCTAGCAGAAATTAAATCCTCCTAATAAAATGTCTTCCAATCCAACTAGGAAACTAAAAACTAAAATAAAATATGAAACATAACCCTAAATTAAATGGGAAAATTCGCCTAAAATCTGAATAGCCACGTTTTGGACCCCTAAACTAATCCAAAATCGGCCCAATACAAATGGATTTAAGGTTTGGAATATTTTGAACACTTTTCCAGAAAGCCACAAACCCATCAGAGGTCCTCTCAGGCTCCAAAAACGCAATTTAAGCCTAGAAACATTATTTTCCAGTACTACGCACTACTCCTTTATTCCGTCGCCAGAAAATAACTGCTTAGTAGAAAAATCCCAAATTTTGATACGAACACGCCAAGAGACACATGAACGTCCTCCAATTTGAATCACTCCAAAAATTCGTCCATTTGATCATGTTTTGCTCTAGAGGAAGTTCGATGTCCTATATTAAAAATATAAATCAAAGTATCAAAATTCTACCAAAATAATTACTAAAACATACTAAAAATAGGGTAAAATATATAATATGAAATTGACTCATCAGTTTCTCATCAACTTGCTGCAATTTGGTCAATTGGGGTCTAAACTCTAACGCAATGTGATCCGAAGAGACTTACTCGAACTTATCTAAATCATTGTAATCAATCGATCCCAACGTGCTTGGTGGGTGAAGGCATTCAACATGTGCGCTGTCTTCCCGCAACTTGAGATTTTGAGTCGACGTGTATACAGATAAATCTCTCTCCTTAAACGTAGCGCTTCTGAAAGAGATTTAATGCATGGAAGAGTCCAAACTCCACATGGATATAATAAGCAGCTGATATATGGATAATGTTGACGAGACCATGAATTTAAGCAATGTAAACTATGTTGTTGATGATTTGATTATTACTTAAGTATTGATTAATGTGCTTATTTTTTATTTGTGACATATCACATGGTTTACAAATGTGTCTAAGAAATGGTTTACCTAACATTACTCTGAATACATATTGGATAATGCTAGGGATAACAAATTTACAAACTAAATAATGTGTCACCAATAAGAAATGAGCATGTTAATCAACACTTGAGTAATAATCCAATCACCCACATCATCCAAATCTAGCATTACCCATATTGAAAGAGTAATGTTAGGGAGAATAATTTGTAGAAAAAATTTGCAAACTAAATTTTGTCTACAAATTTAGTTTCCCTCACATTACTCATAACAAAATATCACAACTTTCAATCGATACATATCAAAATTAATCATGCGGGAGGGGCACTGGATAAACAAACAATAAAGCTAAAATAAGGACATCTTTGAAACTAGCCATGGTTCGTACAAACTAATTAAAAAAAGATTTCAGATTGGATTCAAGTAAATATATAACAAAGAAAATATATATTCATAATGAATGAGTTTATACTTAGATGTGGCTCGCTTTGATTGAATTCTGTAGCTTTGTTGTGATTTTGTAAATGCATAGTAAAAAATGGACTGGTTAGTGGTTTCACTACAACAATCTACTTTTTAGAGACAGAAAATACTCATAGATGTTTTTCAGCTTATCCTGGTAACCATCGTGTGATTTAGAAATCAAACTTAAAAAATGTCCTCTAGAATACGGGTATGTAATAACTAACTAATAAAAGGTGCAGCCGCTTATTTCAATACAAATTTAGATTATGCAAAGTCCAAACACATGCAACGAACGAAATAAAGAAAATAATTTGTGGCCCAAATAAAGAAAATAGAGGTAATTAATTTAGGGATCTTCTTAATTGTGGCCCAAGTTCACTCAAAAACTATAGAAGTGACTCCAACTTCAAATCACCTGCATATAAAAAACAGCCTGATACCAAAGAAGGAGATTCGATCAGGATTTAACAAAACTCAAATAATAGAAAAGCAAAAAGAAGGTATAGCATTATAAATATATAAAAAAGACTTAAAATATAAATTATCTGAATAAGAAACCCGGACTTTATAAGTACAGTTGTTACTTGGAACAGAGGCTAAATAATTGGAATGGAAACACAAACACATGAATTGTGGAACTGGAATCTTAATTGTATGTTAATACTAATTCACTCGAAAATAATGGTGCTGCAAAGTGGGAATATTAATTTAATTATTTTTTGCCATCTTTGAAAAATGTCCAAGAAGCAACAATCACGGGAAATTTTCTGAAGACCATATTTTTCCAAGGCAGAAAGGTAAAATCATGAAAAATAAGAGGTAACCATGATATGTACAAAGTTGTCAGGGACCTGACCTCTATGTCAAGAACTCTCTGTTTGATTATTTTCTTGCACAGGATGCGGTAGGGGTTTTATGCTTTAATTTATTTTCCTTTATGTTTATTTTTGGCTGCATAAACTTCTTATCTTTTGTTTTTGTAACGATTAAAGGAATTGAACCATTACCCTAATCCTAATTAAAAAATTTATAATTAATGATGGTCATTACATTAATGGAAAAAAAAAACACATTGCTTAATTTCTTTCATAAATCATGTGAGGATAATACTTGCATCCTCTTTGGGGATAAGCGCATTCCTCCACTTGTAATAACATATCTTCAATATGAAATTTCATAATAAGAATTGATCAATCTCTCAATCTTCATTTAAAGATCATCCTTAAAAAATATCATTCAAATCGATGATCGTTTAGTCATTATCAAATTAATAAATCAATGTGTAGATACCAAGTACTACATTTATGATGAAATGTTGATTTTGTAGAGAATCCTTAAATGAAGATTAAAAGACTAAACAATTACTGATTTGAATAATTTTTTGTAAAAATAATTTTCAAATAAAGATTAAGAGACTAACTGATTTTGTTATGAAATTTTTACGTGGAAATACGCTATTTATAAGTAAGAGAATGAGAAATTAACATTAACTATCGATTGAGAAGTTAACATTACAAGAGGGATGCGCGCATTATCCTCATGTGATTGAGAAGTTAACATCAACAGGTAGACTTGATCGGTTGCTTTGCACGTTGATCGAGGTGAATGCTCCATATCCAGTTTTAATTGATCAGTTGCTTACGTAAATGACCACATCCACAGGTCCTCCACATCAACCGCCCAGGAAAATCGCCGGTCGTCCAGCTGAGGTTCGCGCTAGTTTACTATGCATTGCTTGCAGTCTGCAGACTCCATGTGTCATGCACGCACGTTCGTCTTTTTGTAGGGTTTTGACTCTGCATGCAGTATGCAGACCTCATACGATCCGTGTCCACATGCGATTGGGTAGGGTAGGCATCACATATCAGGATCCACATGTGGTTGGGCAGGGTTGGCATCACATATCGTAGCTCCACATAGCAACCTTCAACCTCACGCAAGCAGCGGCAAGTCCACCCTCATTTGGTTTAGAAGATTGATGAAGAGTCGGCGAAAATTTTCTGGTACTGTTTATTTTAACAAAAAATCACATTGTTACACTAAAAAATGAATCTTGATACTATTCATTTTACCCTTTATTTTGTCTTTATCGTTAAAACTCAAAGTTTTCAAGCTATTTTTATTAGTTTTCCTTAGAATTAAAGTTAAAAACAGAGTCGTTCTTTCGGATGATAGACTTTTCAGTGTGATCGGAATACGAAATGGTACACCGTATGTCATTATAAAAGTGAGACATGTGTGTTAAAAAGTTAGTAACTTAAAAAATAAAATTTCCCACAAATTACATAAAAACACATAGTATATTATTCGTTTTCGATCACAATAAAACATTTCTCCTCCCAGAGAAAAGGCTGATTAATTATATACCTTTTAATAAAAATTCATTTTCCCCCTCAACTCTTCTAAATAAAAAATTCCCGCTCAACATTTTCTCACATTTTTTTTGTCAGCTAAAGTGTCAAGTTCGTGGTCTTTCCGTTGGGTTGTTGATTGGTCATGGTTTGAACTTTGACATAATTCACGTGTTACCAATTCTCGCAGAACACTAACATAAGGCTTTTATTACGTGTATTAATTTGAGTTTTTAAAAAGACTAAACATGCTTTTAAATTACAAAAATGTCTCTAATCATGATTGAAATAAAATGTTTCTAAATTCGAAAAACATACTTGAACTAAATTGTGGAAGAATGATATGACATGGTATGAGCTTATATTTCCATTGTTTTCAGTCGTGTGTTTTTCATTATATTAGCTCTTTCATATTTCTATTATTTTAATGGGTCTACTGCAAGATCTAAAATGTACCCTCAAGCCAGCGAATGAAAATGTACCCTAATTTGGATTTATAAAATGGCTAGCGTGGACTTTATTTATTTTATTTAATTTTAAAAAACGCTTGGAGTTTCAAAGTCACCTGAGAGGTGCCTATAAATTTGTATTGGCATCCCATCACACATAAACCCATCAATCCAAGACAACAAAAATGGGTGCTCAAACTTTCACAACCCCAACTTCAAACTCACACCATGTTCTCACATTTCTTCTCCCAATTCTTCTACTCATCATCATGACAAACATGCAAACAACCGTCGCAACCTCCTCTTCCTCTCAAACCTACAAAACCTACGTCAAAACCGCCTGCAATTCAACCACATACCCACTCATTTGCTACCAATCCCTTTCCTCGTACGCTTCCAAAATCAAATCTAACCCTCGAAAGCTTTGCATCTATGCCCTCTCCGTGACCCTACAAGCATCGAAAAACGCCTCTTCTGCCGTGTCAAAACTGTCTAAGAGGGGAGGACTAACCCCAACGGAGAAAGGGGTCATTAACGATTGCTTAGAAAATATTAAGGAATCCATCGACGAGCTAAAAGATTCGGTCAGTTCAATGAACAATTTGGGGGTCAAGGGTGCTGATGTGCAAACTCAGTTAGATGATATTAAGACTTGGGCCAGTGCCGTCATCACAGACGACGTTACTTGCACTGATGGATTCGATGGTCTGAAGGTAAGCACGGCGGTTAAGACCCCCATCAACAATAGCATTGTGTATGTTGCTAGGTTAGCTAGCAATGCTCTGTCGCTCATCGACAGCCTCAGCTACTAGTGCAATTAATTAAAGCACCCCTGTAATTCCTTGACTCTATCTATTTTCTTTTTGGTATTTAACTTTTATATTGATGATAGTTTATAGATTGTTACAATTTCTGTTGTGGTTGTTTATGTAATTAAAAGCTGTTTGAAATGGTTTTGCTGTAATTTGCTGGAAGAGTGGTGTGTATAATACTATTATTATATGTAATATGTTAAGGGCGAGCGTTGAGAAATATAATTTTTTGAGCAACCAATAAGCTAAGCCGCACGTTGAAGATCCAATCTCATGACCCATAAGGCCATCATATCTCGATCGATAGAACTTGGATTTCCCCAGCTGTCTTGTACAATTTATTTCCGGTATACATACTTTCCATGCATGTGTATCACCAGAACAAAAAAAAAATGAACAGATTTAATTCCCATTCCAGTTCCCATGAGAGTTACAATGATGGTGACTAAGGAGAGACTAAAATGCCTCTGTGAGTCTTTCCGATCTTCGAAAAAGTAGACTAATGTAACAACACCACCAGATAGTCCATTTTTAAAATGATTTTCACAATGAAGAATGGATGAAGATTCCAAGCATGCCTTAATGCTTTGTTATAGTTTAAGGAAAAGATTTTCATACATATTTTTTTTAGCCTTTAATCAAATAAAACAAAGAAAAAATATAAATAAACAAAAATGTATGCAAGAAGAATAAGAGGGCAAAAATCATTTCTCTATTTCAATTATGGATCGCTCGTCGTGCCAATTGTTACAATGAACGGATAGTTATTACCCAATTTTAATTTCCTAATTTACCAATATTATATTAAAAGTCAAACATAACAAAGGAACACATGTTCGTTTTGTTTGGAGGTAGATATGGTTATGGAAGATGGAGAACATACACTAAGACGGGTTTGAAAGCAAGACTTCTTCATTTTTACGTATATTTTGTTCTATATTGGTTTGTATTCGGCAGTTTTGGGTTTTTTCTTCTGGTTATGTCCGCGAAATTTTAAATAAGCAATTTTTAATCTCTCTTGGAATTTTGACTAAGTAATATATTGCTTCTTTTATTGTTTTTATTCTTTGGCATCCTCCTTTGGATAACTGGATTAAAGTGATACAGATGGGCTTGCTAAGGGTAGCCCAGTAACTGCGACCTGTGAGGTGGTCTTTTATGGTTCTGCGGCATTTTTTTTTTTTTTTTTTGTGGTTCCTCTAAGACTGAGAGTTGGGGTTTCAAACTTTTTTCTATGCAGAGTTTTATGCTTCATCTTTGTTGTGGAGTTGGCCGCGGGGTTATGTAATTTGTGGTTCAAAAGTGACTCTTGCAGTGTGATCTCCTACTTTTCTTCGGTACTTTTTTCTCCTCCTTTGGCAGCTTTAGATTTGTTGAAAAAATTCTTCCCCTTTGCAAAACAAGGTTTTCCTTGTCTCATATTTTTGAAGAAGAAAATGAAGTTGTTGATAAATTAGCTAATTTAGGGTTGGATGCAAGTATGCATGTAATAATCTTGAAGGTTGGGGTGGAGCAAATCCCAACTAAAGTAGTTTATTACGTTTAGTCTATAGCTCGGTTGGAAGAACAATTAAACAGAAGGCGCACATGAATTATAATTATACACACAAACATAAGGTGTTGGGTTTCAAACCATGCGTTCCGCAGTCAAAACTTTTTTCTCTTCTAAATTATTGTAATAGTTTTGAATCATTCCTCCTCCCCTTAATAATAATAAAATTTAAAAATATATGAATAAAGTAGCTAGCTATATATACACATTTGATGACAAATGAATGTGATATTGATATCACATTTTTCTTTTAGTATTAATAGTCTAAATTTTCACCAAAGTTTAGGTTTAATCATAAATCAATTAATAATATATATGAAGGATAATTTAATTATTTAATTACAAGCACATGTATGATTTTTTTTCTTTTACATATGTGGCTCACACTCAATAAATTATCTCTTTTAGAGAAACTTTAGATTGATCACGCACTTCTCATTTTCCTTATATTTGATTCACTTGTAATTTATTCGATCTAGAAATTTATAAAAAAAATTAATGTAAAAAGTTACACATGTAGAAATAATAATGAGTGCGGAAATCGTCACTAATGTGGACATATACCTTATTGTTCAGATGGATTTGAAAATTGATACAATCTACAATAATACAGGTATGGGAGTGATCACATGGAGAGAATGTATGAGTAAGGTCATAATCTTAATTATTTCAAGTCCTTTCAACCTTGTGAAATTATTACTAATGGAGTTTAGAATCTGTTAAATGACTTTCGTGAAATTAATCAAAATCGTTTGATTTCATCAGCGCTACTGCCCACCCATGCATGCATCCTGCTGCCTGGTGCCTGCAGAACATCATTTTGGAAGTTTGGAAGCATGAAGAGCCAAACATCATTAATACAATATTCATGAATTTTTTTCACTCATTAATTTTGATAAAATTGGTATGTTAACTGTTACACCCGCCCCTGCTCATAAGGATAATTTTATAATTTTTCCGAAAAAATTTATAGAATTATCACTTAGTCCTCAATTTCTCATCCAATCAAGATCTAGAAAAATTAAGTGTTTACCCTATCCCTAGGCTGCAACATGGCAGCACACCAACCCACTTCCCTTTTTCTCTTTTGTCCCCCCCCCACCTGCCGTGACCCCCCTTTCTTTCTTTTCTTTCTTTTCTTTTGTTTTGTCTGCACCCTTTTCCTCTCTCTTTCGAAGACTCTCCCATTTCTCTCCCTCTTCTACACCGTGGCAATGCACACACACACCCACAGTTGCATCAGCTCAAGGAGAGTCACCAACGTCGCCATTAAGCTGCATCTCTCTCTCTATTTCTCTCTCTCTCTCTCCCCTGCTCGCATCGCCGGGAAGACGCCAAGCACCTCCGGCGAGTTTCGTTGTTTTCCGGTTGGGTAAGCCTTGTTTTTTTCCTTTTATTCATGTTAGACGTTGGTTATATGTGTTTACTGAGTTTGGGTTCAATAATTCCAAGGTTTTGGAGTGTTTTTGGCACGGGTGAAGGCACACCCAAATTTCCGGCGAGATTGTGGTTTCCGAGGGAATTTCCGGCCACCACAGGGCGTTTAACGGTGAACCAAAGGTATAAAACTACTCCTCTCGTCTAGTGCTTCATTTTGGAACCTAGATCGGGGTCTCGTTTGCGTGTTTGAAGTTGGTCGGAGCTATGGAAGCTCCGGTGTTCTTCTCCGATGTACCCAGGCCTTCAGGCCGTCTCCCATTCCCACAGACCTTAGGCCTGTTTTGGTCTTTGGCCCAAAACCCTAACCCTTTCCATTTTTATTTTAATTTTGTTTCTTTAAAAACCCAAAGGCCTTAGGGCCATGTTAGCAAAACCCAAAACCCTTTCCAATTGGGCCATTGGGCCGTGACGTTTCAAACCTAAACCCATTTTCTTTCAAACCCAAACCCAACCCACCTAAAACCTAAACCCATTTACCCTAACCCAAACCCTTAAACCCTGACCCGTTGACCGTTGACTGGGTCAACAGTTAGCGTTGACTTTTGACTTTGACTAGTTAACGTTGACTTTGACCGTTGACTTTTTGGGATTTCGTGCGGAACCCCTCCTAGGCTAATGTCGACGTTCTAAACCCGTTTCCGATGTCCGTTTTCCCAAATTAAATCGTTTGAGTAGAGTTTGACTGGAAATGCCAATTGTGTGTTTAGGTGCGATTCTTAGCAGTGTTTCCGTGATTCCTGTTTGGTACAGCTTGCACCATCGGTGTACGGTGAATGGACCCCTTCTAAAAATGCATGTTTTGATAGTAGAAATGCATACATGAAAAGCATGATTTGATGATTATGTTTTATGAAACGCTTTGAGATAACATACTTACTGAGGCTAGTTTGAATGATTACTATTTTTCCTATAACCCATGTTCTTATATAATATCTAATGGATGACGATATGATATTTAGAACATGTTTAGAACACCTCTTTATAGTATAGATGATGGATGATTTTATACTATGAAGTTGATTTTCAATATATGTATGTTCATTGATTTTGTACTTACCTAGTGGTCCTTTCCGCTACGGGACGTAGGGATAGATCCGGTCCGTCCCGGGCGACGGTTTGGTGTTGGCATAGGGCCTGGAGTGTGTTTTCCTCTGACTGTCTGCTCAGAAATGGGGAGCTAGCATGGGGCCTGAAGAGTTATATCGGACATTCACTAGCGTTTATTATTTATGCGATTTGTGATTTTGAAACCTTGCACGACATGCTAGGGTTCGGAAAACCTATATTTATCATTATATTTGTGTTTTCATAAAATCTGGGGTTAGTACGTTGATAACTGTTTTATTATATGTATATATCAACTTGGCCCACTCATGTTTGTTTTGCGTCCCCTTCAGGACCTATGAACGAGGAATACGACCTGAGCTAGGAGGCATTATCCTATCAGTGATATTGTGTTATATTCGCTCTGTTTCGCCATCTATTGTAGTAGCACTTCTCTATCTTAGTTCTCCTTGTACTCTGTGATAAACTTATGCTCTGGACGTGTTGTGTATTTACCTAATTTCAATACTTAGAAGTTGAACTTTTATTTGTGTATTTAGCCTTTATTGCGTACTTTAGTTTATTTCTCAGTTTTTGTTTAAATTAAATGGCTTTCGTCACTCCTCGGGTGTCGACCAGCACGTGACCATCTCGATGTCCCTAGGACCTCGGGGTCGGGCCGTGTCAGATTGGTATCAGAGCATGGTTAGTTTGGAGCATACTTTGGGATTTCATTCCACCATTTGGTAGTCATAATTTCCACTGCATTCTTAATCTCTAGTTGTTCTAAATCTTTCATGTCTTTTTCAGAATTATGGACCCCAGTGGTGGGAATGTGCCTCGTCGAACCCGTTCTGGTTTAGGGGGAGGAATCCAACAGCTGACTAATGCCATACGGAATGCTTTTACTAATAGATCGAATCGCACTTACATTGAGATTGCTCGTAGTCATGGTATTCCGGACCTTTATGCAGTTGGGGCTTGTCCGGAGGTTGAGGAATGGTTAGAACAGATGGAGGACACTTTGGAGAGTATGAGATGCCCGCCAAGTGAATGGGTGGATACTGTAACTTATTTTCTGAAAGAGGATGCTAGGCGTTGGTGGAAATCAGTGAAGCATGCTCGTCCACCTAATGATCCAATGAATTGGGTTGATTTCCGGAAGACTTTCAGCGATTATTTCTTGAGTCCCAGTTATCAGTTGAGGATGAGACAACAATTCCTAGAGTTTCGTCAAGGTGATCTGAGTATCACGGAGGTAGACAGTATTTTTCGGCGCCTGTCAAGACATCATGCAGGGACTTATGGAAACCCGGGTGAAAAGATGGTCCAGTTACTAATTTGCTTGAATCCTGAATATTGTGAACCAATGGCAGCAATAAAGCACAGGAGTTACGAGGAGATGATTGAGACTTGCTTGAGAATTGAACAGTCTAGGTGGGAGACTCAGCATCAGGCGCAAGCGCAGTTACAGTTTCAGGGACCGCCAAGATATCAAGACCGACCTCGGAACCAGAACCAGAGGGGTCGTGGGTTTCGATCTTGGAGCGTGAGAGAAGCTAATAGTTCATTTAATTATTCTGACCCTCGACATTCTCCTTCCTTCAAAAGTCAAGGCCAGAGTTCAGGTTCTTCTAGTGAAGGCTCAGGCAATGAATCTGGGAGACGATCCTTCAGTCACTTCAGATCACCGATCACGTGTCACAGGTGTGGAGGCACGGAACATATTGCCAGGTATTGCCCATCTGAATGACCTGCCAAAAGTTATGCATCTGCGCCGAGTTATAGTGGAGGGAGTAATCCGAGCTCCAGTTATGGCGGTAATTATACTCGAAGTGACAGTGGGAGTGGAAGCCAAAATACTCAATTTTCCACTCAGAGGCAGCCACAACAGTTTAGTACAGCATCAGGTAGCCACCCTCAAGGAAATCGAGCAGGCCGTAACAACCAAGGTTTTAGGGCTCGAGGTGGCCATAACGGTGTAGCAGGACATCAGTTGCATGGACGTATCAACGCCATGACTCAGCAGGAGGCTGATCAGGACCCTCAAGTTATTACCGGTACGTTACTTATTTGTGGTAATTGGGCGAGAATCCTAATCGATCCAGGCGCTACTTTTTCATTTGTGTCTTCCTCATTTGCACCGAATCTAAATTCGCAACCTACACCACTTGGCTATGATATGCTTGTACAAATGCCGCATGGAGATCTGTTTTGTGCACAGTGGGAGTATAGAGGTTGCCCGGTAATGGTGGAAGGGGAAACAATGGAGGCTAACCTGGTTCCCTTCAATCTGGTGGAGTTTGATGTTATCTTGAGAATGGATTGGCTCTCCAGGCACCGTGCGTATGACGCGTGTTGGGAGAAATCTGTGACGCTCAATCGGCCTGGACGACCGTCGATCACATTTCAGGGTGAGCGACGAATCCTTCCTAATAGTATTATTTCTACTATCCGCGCCTCTAAGTTGTTGTCTAATGGATGTATAGGGTTTCTAGCCCACGTAGTAACAAGGGGAAAACCTTCGTTGAGTCCTAAAGATGTACTAGTGGTGAAGAAATTCATCGATGTTTTTTCGGAAGATCTACCAGGGCTGCCACCTGCGAGGGAAATTGAATTCACCATCGATTTACTTCCAGGTACAGACCCTATTTCGTTACCACCTTATCGAATGGCACTAGCAGAGTTGAGGGAATTGAAGCTTCAACTTCAGGAGTTAGTGGATAAAGGTTATATCCAACCCAGCATGTCTCTTTGGGGTGTTTCTGTTCTTTTTGTTAAAAAGAAGGATGGTTCGATGAGACTTTGCATCGACTACCGGCAGCTGAACCGGGTGACAGTAAAGAATCGTTATCCTTTGCCTCGGATAGGTGGTATGTTTAACCAGCTGAAAGGCGCTCAGGTATTTTCTAAGATCGATCTTCGTTCAGGTTATCATCAGCTGCTAATTCAAGAGGAAGATGTACAGAAGACTGCTTTCCGTACTAGGTATGGACACTTTGAATTTCATGTCATGCCTTTCGGATTGACGAATGCTCCTGCAGCCTTCATGGATTTGATGAATAAAGTCTTCAGACCATATCTGGATCGGTTTGTGATTGTGTTCATCGATGACATTCTGATTTATTCCAAAAGTGTTGACGAGCACAGGAAACATTTAAGTTTGGTGTTGGAAAGGTTGAGAAGTCAACAGCTGTATGCTAAGTTCACCAAGTATCAGTTTTGGCTTAACCAGATCAGCTTTCTTGGACATGTGGTATCTGCTGAAGGAATTAGTGTAGATCCTTAGAAGGTGTCGGCAATAACTACATGGGAACAACCGAGGAATGTTACCGAGGTGAGGAGCTTCCTAGGTCTGGCTGGCTATTACCGACGTTTTGTGCAGGGTTTCTCAGCAATTGCCTTGCCATTGAATAAGTTGACTCGGAAGGAGGTTGAGTTTAAGTGGGATGAAGATTGTAAGCGGAGTTTTCAGAAGCTGAAACGACGTCTCACTCAAGCTCCCGTTCTTGTTCTTCTAGACGATAGCGGTGAGTTTGAAATCTACACGGATGCATCTAGTTCAGGTTTGGGTTGTGTACTCATGCAGCATGAGAGAGTCATTGCTTATGCTTCCAGACAGCTCAAGACCCACGAAAGAAACTACCCTACTCATGATTTGGAACTCGGTGCAGTTGTGTTCGCTCTGAAGATCTGGAGACATTATTTGTACTGTGAGAAGTGCTGCATCTTCACCGATCATAAGAGCCTCAAGTATATCATCACGCAGAAAGACTTGAATTTGAGGCAGAGAAGGTGGATGGAGCTCATCAGTGACTATAACTGCACGATCGAATATCATCCCGGACATGTCAATGTAGTAGCGGACGCACTCAGTCAGAAATATAATGGACAACTTACATCCCTTAGAACTATCCATGTTCCGCTACTATTTTCTCTTTAAGAAACGGGCGTTGCAGTGAACGTGGGTGATCAGAGAGCTTGGTTGGCATACTTCCAAGTTAGACCTGTTTTGGTGGACATGGTTATAAACGCTTAGAAACTTGATCCGGAGTGTGCTGTCATAAAGGGTTTGATTTCAGAGGGAAAAATGAAAGAATTCAGCATTCGAAAGGATGGAGCCTTGATGCTAGGAAACAGGCTGTACGTGCCTCAGGATAACGAAGCGGTGAAAAAAGAGATTCTTGATGAAGCGCACCTTTCAGCATATGCCATGCATCTAGGAAGTACCAAATTATATCGCATTATTTGTTCGTTCTATAACTAGGTTGGAATGAAGCGGGATGTGGCGGATTATGTGAGTAGATGCATCATTTGCCAGCAGGTAAAAGCTGCGACGCAAAGGCCTGGAAGACTAATGCAAAATCTTCCGATACCAGCTTGGAAGTGGGAAGACATCACCATGGATTTTGTGTATGGGTTGCCGAGGACACAAGCGAGATTGGACAGCATTTGGGTGATTGTGGATCGACTCACTGAGCGGTAGGCAAGAAATGAGCGATCTTAGTGAGTTGACTCACAATCACCCAAATGCCGTCCAATCTCGCATGTGTCCTCGGCAACCCATACACAAAATCCATGGTGATGTCTTCCCACTTCTAAGCTGGTATCAGAAGATTTTGCATTAGTCTTCCAGGCCTTTGCCTCTCAGTCTTTACATGCTGGCAAATGATGCATCTACTCACATAATCCCCACATCCCGCTTCATTCCTACCCAGTTATAGAACGGACGGATAGTGCGATATAATTTGGTACTTCCTGGATGCATGGCATATGCTGAAAGGTGCGCTTCATCAAGAATCTCTTTTTTCACCGCTTCGTTATCCTGAGGCACGTACAGCCTGTTTCCTAGCATCAAGGCTTCATCCTTCCGAATGCGGAATTCTTTCCTTTTTCCCTCTGAAATCAAACCCTTTATGACAGCACACTCCGGATCAAGTTTCTAAGCCTCTACAACCATGTTCACCAAAACAAGTCTAACTTGGAAGTGTGCCAACCAAGCTCTCTGATCACCCGCGTTCACTGCAAAGCCCGTTTCTCAAAAAGAAATTAGTAGCGGAACATGGATAGTTCTAAGGGATGTAAGTTGTCCATTATATTTCTGACTAAGTGCGTCCGCTACCACATTGGCATGTCCCGGATGATATTCGATCGTGCAGTTATAGTCACTGATGAGCTCCATGCACCTTCTTTGCCTTAAATTCAAGTCTTTTTGCATGAAGATATACTTGAGGCTCTTATGATCGGTGAAGATGCGGCACTTCTCACCGTACAAATAATGTATCCAAATCTTCAGAGCGAACACAACTGCACCGAGTTCCAAATCATGAGTAGGGTAGTTTCTTTCGTCGGTCTTGAGCTGTCTGGAAACATAAGCAATGACTCTCTCATGCTGCATCAGTACACAACCCAAACCTGAACTAAATGCATCCGTGTAGATTTCAAACTCACCGCTATCGTCTGGAAGAACAAGAACGGGAGCTTGAGTGAGACGTCGTTTCAGCTCCTGAAAACTCCGCTCATAATCTTCATCCCACTTAAAATCAACCTCCTTCCGAGTCAACTTACTCAATGGCAAAGCAATTGCTGAGAAACCCTGCACAACACGTTGGTGATAGCCAGCCAGACCTAGGAAGCTCCTCACCTCGGTAACATTCCTCGGTTGTTCCCATATAGTTATTGCCGACACCTTCTGAGGATCTACACTAATTCCTTCAGCAGATACCACATGTCCGAGAAAGCTGATCTGGTTAAGCCAAAACTGACACTTGGTGAACTTAGCATACAACTGCTGACTTCTCAACCTTTCCAGCACCAACCTTAAATGTTTCCTGTGCTCGTCAACACTTTTGGAATAAATTAGAATGTCATCGATGAACACAATCACAAACCGGTCCAGATATGGTCTGAAGACTTTGTTCATCAAATCCATGAATGCTGCAGGAGCATTCGTCAATCCGAAAGGCATGACATGAAATTCAAAATGTCCATACCTAGTACGGAAAGCAGTCTTCGGTACATCTTCCTCTCGAATTAGCAGCTGATGATAACCTGAACGAAGATCGATTTTAGAAAACACCTGAGCGTCTTTCAGCTGGTCAAACAGATCATCTATCCGAGGCAAAGGATAACGATTCTTTACCGTCACCCGGTTCAGCTGCCGGCAGTCGATGCAAAGTCTCATCGAACCATCCTTCTTTTTAACAAAAAGAACAGAAGCACCCCAAGGAGACATGCTGGGTTGGATATAACCTTTATCCACTAACTCCTGAAGTTGAAGCTTCAATTCCCTCAACTTTGCTAGTGTCATTCGATAAGGTGGTAACGAAATAGGGTCTGTACCTAGAAGTAAATCGATGGTGAATTCAATTTCCCTCGCAGGTGGCAACCCTGGTAGATCTTCCGAAAAAACATCGATGAATTTTTTCACCACTGGTATACCTTTAGGACTCAACGAAGGTTTACCCCTCGTCACTATGTGGGCTAGAAACCCTACACATCCCTTAGACAACAACTTAGAGGCGTGGATAGCAGAAATAATACTATTAGGAAGGATTCGTCGCTCACCCTGAAATGTGATCGACGGTCATCCAGGCCGATTAAACATCACAGATTTCTCCCAACATGCAACATACGCACGGTGCTTGGAGAGCCAATCCATTCCCAAGATAACATCGAACTCCACCAGATTGAAGGGAACCAGGTTAGCCTCCATTGTTTCCCCTTCCACCACTACCGGGCAACCTCTATACTCCCACTGTGCACAAAACAGATCTCCATGCGGCATTTGTACAAGCATATCATAGCCAAGCGGTGTAGGTTGCGAATTTAGATTCGGTGCAAATGAGGAAGACACAAATGAAAAAGTAGCTCCTGGATCGATTAGGATTCTCGCCCAATTACCACAAATAAGTAACGTACCGGTAATAACTTGAGGGTCCTGATCAGCCTCCTGCTGAGTCATGGCGTTGATACATCCATGCAACTGATGTCCTGCTACACCGTTACGGCCACCTCGAGTCCTAAAACATTGGTTGTTACGGCCTGCTCGATTTCCTTGAGGGCGGCTACCTGATGCTGTACTAAACTATTGTGGTTGCCTCTGAGTGGAAAATTGAGTATTTTGGCTTCCACTCCCACTGTCACTTCGAGTATAATTGCCGCCATAACTAGAGCTCGGGTTACTCCCTCCATTATAACTCGGCGCAAATGCATAACTTTCGGCAGGTCGTTCAGATGGGCAATACCTGGCAATATGTCCCGTGCCTCCACACCTGTGACACGTGATTGGGGATCTGAAGTGACTGAAGAATCGTCTCCCAGATTCATTACCTGAGCCTTCACTGGAAGAACATGAACCCTGGCCTTGACGTTTGAAGGAATGAGAATGTCGAGGGCCAGCATAATTAGATGAACTAGCAGCTTCTCTCACGCTCCGAGATCGAAACCCACGACCCCTCTAGTTCTGGTTCCGAGGTCGGTCTTGATATCTTGGGGGTCCCTGAAACTATAACTGCGCATACGCCTGATGCTGAGTCTCCCACCTAAACTGTTCAATTCTCAAGCAAGTCTCAATCATCTCCTCGTAACTCTTGTGCCTTATTGCTGCCACTGGTTCACGATATTCAGGATTCAAACAAATCAGTAACTAGACCATCTTTTCACCCGTGTTTCCATAAGTCCCTGCATAATGTCTTGACAGGCGCCGAAAAATACTGTCTACCTCCGTGATACTCAGATCGCCTTGGCGAAACTCTAGGAATCGTTGTCTTATCCTCAATTGATAACTGGGACTCAAGAAATAATCGCTGAAAGTCCTCCGGAAATCAACCCAATTCATTGGATCATTAGGTGGACGAGCATGTTTCACTGCTTCACTGATTTCCACCTACGCCTAGCATCCTCTTTCAGAAAATAAGTTGCAATATCCACCCATTCACCTGGCGGGCATCTCATACTCTCCAAAGTGTCCTCCACCTGTTCTAACCATTTCTCAGCCTCCGAACAAGCCCCAACTGCATAAAGGTCCGGAATACCATGACTACGAGCAATCTCAATGTAAGTGCGATTCGATCTATTAGTAAAAGCATTCCGTATGACATTAGTCAGCTATTGGATTCCTCCCCCTAAATCAGAACGGGTTCGACGAGGCACATTCCCACCAGTGGGGTCCATAATTCTGAAAAAGGCATGAAAGATTTAGAACAACTAGAGATTAAGAATGCAGTGGAAATTATGACTACCAAATGGTGGAATGAAATCCTAAGTATGCTCTGAACTAACCATGCTCTGATACCAATCTGACACGCCCCGACCCCGAGGCCCTAGGGACGTCGAGATGGTCACGTGCTGGCCGACACCCGAGGGGTGACGAAAGCCATTTAATTTAAACAAAAACTGAGAAATAAACTAAAGTGCGCAATAAAGGCTAAATACACAAATTAAAGTTCAACTTCTAAGTATTGAAATTAGGTAACTACACAACACGTCCAGAGCATAAGTCTATCACAGAGTACAAGCAGAACTAAGATAGAGAAGTGCTATTACAATAGATGGTGAAACGAAGCGAATATAACATAATATCACTGATAGGGGAATGCCTCGTAACTCAGGTCGTATTCCTCATTCATAGGCCCTGAAGGGGGCGCAAAACAAACATGAATGGACCAAGTTGATATATACATATAATAAAACAGTTATCAACGTATTAATCCTCATATTTTATGAAAACACAAATATAATGATAAATATAGGTTTTCCGAACCCTAGCATGTCGTGCAAGGTTTCAAAATCACAAATCGCATAAATAATAAACGCTAGTGAATGTCCGATATAACTCTTCAGGCCCCATGCCGACTCCCTGTCTTTGAGCAGACAGTCAGAGGAAAGTACACTTCAGGCCCCATGCCGGCTCCCCGTCTTTGAGCAGACAGTCAGAGGAAAACACACTCCCGACCCTATGCCAACACCAAACCATCGCCCGGGACGGACCGGATTTATCCCTACGTCCCGTAGCGGAAAGGACCACTAGGTAAGTACAAAACCAGTGAACATACATATATTGAAAATCAACTTCATAGTATAAAGTCATCCATCATCTATACTATAAAGAGGTGTTCTAAACATGTTCTAAATATCATATCGTCATCCATCAGATATTATATAAGAACATGGGTTTTAGGAAAAATAGTAATCATTCAAACTAGCCTCCGTAAGCATATTATCTCAAAGCGTTTCATAAAACATAATCATCAAATCATGCTTTTCATGTATGCATTTCTACTATCAAAACATGCATTTTCAGAAGGGGTCCACTCACCGTACACCGATGGTGCAAGCCGTACCAAACAGGAATCACGAAAACACTGCTAAGAATCGCACCTAAACACACAGTTGGCATTTCCAGTCAAACTCTACTCAAACGATTTAATTTGGAAAAACGGACATCGGAAATGGGTTTAGAACGTCGACATTAGCCTAGGAGGGGTCCCGCACGAAATCCCAAAAAGTCAACGGTCAAAGTCAACGTTGACCGTTGACTAGTCAAAAGTCAACGCTGACCGTTGACCCAGTCAACGGTCAACGGGTCAGGGTTTTAGGGTTTGGGTTAGGGTAAATGGGTTTAGGTTTTAGGTCGGTCGGGTTTGGGTTTGAAAGAAAATGGGTTTGGGTTTGAAAGAAAATGGGTTTAGGTTTGAAACCTCATAGCCCAATGGCCCAATTGGAAAGGGTTTTGGGTTTTGCTAACATGGGCCTAAGGCCTTTGGGTTTTTAAAGAAACAAAATAAAATAAAAATGGAAAGGGTTAGGGTTTTGGGCCAAAGACCAAAACAGGCCTAAGGCCCGTGGGAATGGGAGATGGCCTGAAGGCCTGGGTACACCGAAGAAGAACACCTGAGCTTCCATAGCTCCAGCCAACTTCAAACACGTAAACGAGACCCCGATCTAGGTACCAAAATGAAGCACTAGACGAGAGGAGTAGTTTTATACCTTTGGTTCGCCGTGAAACGGCCTGTGGTGGCCGAAAATTCCCTCGGAAACCACAATCTCCCCGGAAATTTGGGTGTGCCTTCACCTATGCCAAAAACACTCCAAAACGTTAGAATTATTGAACCCAAACTTAGTAAACACATCTAACCAACGTCTAACATGAATAAAAGGAAAGAAACAAGGCTTACCCAACCAGAAAACGACGAAACTCGCCGGAGGTGCTCGATGTCCTCCCGGCGACGCGAGCAGGAGAGAGAGAGAGAGAGAGAGAGAGAGAGAGAGATGCAGCTTAATGGCGACGTTAGTGACTCTCCCTGAGCTGGTGCAACTAGTGGGTGTGTGTGTGCACTGTCACGGTGTAGGAGAGGGAGAGAAATGAGAGAGTTTTCGAAAGAGAAAGGAAAAAGGTGCAGACAAAAAGAAAGAAAAGAAAGCAAGGGGGTCACGGCAGGTTGGGGGGGAGGGACCAAAAGAGAAAAAGGGAAGTGGGTTGGAGTGCTGCCACGTGGCAGCTTAAGGATAGGGTAAACACTTAATTTTTCCGGATAGAAATTGAGGACTAAGTGATAATTCTCTAAATTTTTAGGAAGAATTACAGAATTATCATTATAAGCAAGGACGGGTGTAACATTTCGTCACCTCTTGGGTGTTGGCCAGCACGTGACCATCTTGATGTCCCTAGGATCTCGAGGACGGGGCGTATCATTGACACTAAATGGTAGAAAAATAAATTAATATCAAAATTTCTATTTACAATATTCAATTTTAAAACCTTATCATACTTATAAACAAAAGAGTATCACAACTTCACAAGGCCATGGTTTAAGTAAATTTTTTTTTTTTCATTTGATTCCATCCAAACAGAAATATCTTACATGCCTGCAGTATCGCGTGGCGGTGTGGCCTGACTGAAGAGTGCCATGATAATTAACTGATAAGTTATGGGTGCCCATGCCATCGCGACTTGCGTAGGGTACCTGGACGAATAGATTACGGCTTCGAGAAGCAAACTGTTTTTTAGGAAAAGACTAAAGTCCAGAGATGCTGTTAGGGTAGCATCACACATAGATCCAATCCAAGAGTTAGTTTACCTGAATTTGTTTATTATTGTGTAGTAAAAGACTTGAACTAAATAATCCCTTCACTCATGGGAAGACGCTACAATAAAATTACACTGACAAATAATTTAAGAAAGGAAAAAAATGGTCCCCGAATCTTCATTGGTGGCTTCCCAACGCAATCGATATTATACAGTACGGAGTCAATTCGTGGGACAAATATCTGTGCTTAAACCATCCGATCGAATCGGCCAAAAAATTATAAGATTAAAAATAATTAAAAATAACACGAAAATAGTTTTCAACCAAAGTTTGGATCAAAGAGCTTGTGGGCCCCATCGGATTAAAACCATCAAATCAGACCAATGGGCTGGTCATTTCCACCAGCCAACCAGCCAGCCTGATGAGTCCAGCCTTTTTTTTTTTTTTTTTGGACGAATTTTTTTCATACGTTATTTCTCACATACTTTTCGTCATTACATACTATTTTATCTAGTTTTATTTTAATTATTTACATTCTGTTCTCTTCCAATAATCTTTTCCTTTAATTTTTTCAATAATTTTCAAATGATCACCTCTTTCAATAATTTTCTAATATATTCGAAAATTTTATTTTAATATGATAGTTTAATTTAATTAACTATATTACTTCAATTAAAATAATAAATTATGTTTGATTTATAATCTTTTAACCTATTCTGTTGAAATGGTATAAAATATGATATGACATTGTTTATTAAAATATAATTTCTTACATAAGTATAAGGCTAAACATGAGCTTTTACCTTCTTTAGAGATGGCCTCGTAGGCTTATAGTCCATGGTCAGGTAATCATCTTCTCGTTCACGTGGTCTTCAGTCATCAAAGGCCAACAAGAAACCTCGGCAGGCGCCGGTCGCCGCTCTCACCTGCCTGCGGTCTTACGCCCACTCACGTGCTCACCGCCACTGGCGAGTCCCGACAAACAACCCCACCGCCTCTCTCCCCCCACCACCGTCTGCTCCCTTTAACATTTTCACACTTATCCTATTTCATTTATTTTCCTACCCACTCTACTCAGTCCTCATCCAAACATATATATTGTTAATTATGGCCTTGCATCGCCGCCATGACTCACGACGAGTACAGGTATACAGGTACAAAATAAAAAGTAAAAATTAGTTGATATTTAGTAATAATAAATCCGTTATCTCCTTTAATCAAGGATCCCATTTGTCACTTAAAAATGAAATATTAAGCCGCTTCCGTTTTTTGACTTCTTTCCACCGTCAATCACGCAAAAAAGTTGATTTTAGTGTCTATCGGTCAATAAAAAGAACCCAACTTTTCCTGATACCTGCTTTTATTTTAAATTTCGGCTATGCCAAACTAAACTAGTACTAAGTTCAATTTATCCCTTCAATCAAGGATCTTATGGCTAGCTTGTCCAGAACAGGTTTAATTAAGTTATAAAAGATAGACACCAAAAGCAGCAGCCTGCATAGCTTCACATATGGAAGATCCAAAGCACTTGATCATATCTTACATATCTTTATATATATATATATATATATATTATAACATACTGAATATACCAAACTATACATTAAAACTAAACAACATCAACAGTTCTCAAAAAAAGAAAAAACAAAAACGCAGTAGCTCATCAGTGCTTGCCAGCAAGCCGGTTGCACAAGGCGAGTGCATTACTAGTGCACTGAGCAACGTTAAGCACCTGAGCTCTAACGGAGGATTTGATCTTGCCGTTCAAGGCCTTCCCGGAGAACCCATCAAGACACGTATTATCATCAGTCAAAGCAGCACTGACCCAAGTCTCCACATTGCTCATGTGCCACAAGAAATCCTGACCCTTGGATTTCCCCATGTCCTTCAGCTCCGTCACCGACTTGCTCAGCCTGTCCACGCTGTCCCCCATCTCCTCCAAGCAGTCCTTGATGGCTCCGTACTCTCTGGATTTTAGTCCCTTAAACTTGGCCAACTTGGTCACGAATGTTTTCGCGCTCTTTGCTCTTGTAAGGCTGACGGACAAGGAGGCCTGGGCCAGCTGGCGGGGGCTTTGCTGGATAGATGTGGCGTAGGAAGAGAGAGATTGGATGCAGACTTGTGGGTAGGTGGTTGCCCTGCATGAGGTTTCGATGAAGTTTGTAGTAGTTGTGGTGGATGCAGATTTGGCTGTGCCAACAAGGTAGAAGATGGGAAGAAGAAGAAGCAAGATAACTGAGGCTCTAGCCATTGAAGGAAAGTTGGGAATTTGGAGTGGGATTGGACTCGGAAAAGGTTGAGACTTGGAGAATGCGAAATGAGAGTGAAAGGATTGCGTATTTATAGAGGTGTGACACTATTTTTTTTAACACTACATTTCATCTTATACACGCTGCTCTTTATTTTAGTTTATTTATTTATTTTTATTTGTTTAGTCTAAAGATCATAAACAATAAAGTGTGACATGAAAGATCATAAATGTACGGAAATTAGTCGTTTACATATAAAATGTATAATTAGTTGGAAAAATCATTACTTTATGTTAGGTTGTACTAATTAGTTGACACCGTGTAACAATCTGTGTACTAGATTCATTCTTTGTAGTTTTATTTCTTTGGTGTTTCGAGATGTCAAAATTTCATTGGTAAAAAATTATTATAATTTTTAAAAAATCAAAACAAATAGGTTGTTAAATGAAATTTAAAAAACCCGAATTACTAGATCCGATGATCTCTTTTTATAAATAAAGGGCTTCTGATTTTATATACATCTTTGTCAACTTCATGGAAACTTAGGCACATGACCATTCGTACTTTTCAAACTCGTATGCATAAATTACCTAATGTTTTGTCGACCAACGTGACATAGTTTCTATTTTTTATGGGTACAAATCCAGTAAGCTTTGGAAGTTAAGTGGGATCCACATATTATCTAGAGGATGCGAGTTGATTCGGGCCAAAACTTGAAAGAAAATTAATGTCCCACATGCGATACGCAAAATCTAGACAAGAAAACGTGATTGGGGCATTGATTATGGAAAGGGATCCTCTCCGCGGATTCTTTCCATCAAATTCACACAATCAATTAATTAGGATTTTAGAAATTTAATTTAATGATTATAAATAGTGGATTCTTTTAAAAATTATAATAACTTTAACGATTGAATTAAATTTCAAAATACGTAAATTAAATAATTTGATGGATTTGATGGAAGGAATTCAGAAATGATCGCTTTCCATAGATTATTTGCACTTCCTTGAATTATGCAGCATGACTTAGGGAATTGTTTAAACATAAGCTGCCTAAGTGTGACACTAATGTCTAGTGAACTGCTGACTTTTCTATAATTTCTGCGCGTACTTCCTCTTCTTAGCCGATGCATGTTAAGCGGCAACTATTTGGGTTCCCTTTTTACCTAATTCAAAGTCATCAATGGAAATATAACAAACTAACAAACTAACTTCAAAGAAAAATTAAAAACAAACACATAAACAAAAAGAAAAAACCGATGAAAACTAAAGTGATAATTTTCTCCATTAGACGGTATTAGGTAATTCGACTCTGCACAATTGTGATTAAGGATACAACATATATCTTCTATACAATTGATATATTTAGTTGTGATGTAACTTTATTATGAATGTGTTAACGTGTTGTAATATTTTAATATCTTTTTGACGGCCCTATCGTTCATACGAGCAAAGAAGTTATAAACGGGAAAGCAAGCTATGTGAAATGAGAGGCCAATAGAACAAAGGCAGAAGAAGGGCAAAAAGTGACCAAAACACTAACAAATTAGCGAAAGAAACAAGAAAACAATGTAAAACGAGATGTGAAACTCACGATTATAATTGAAGGCAGTCCAAAGTAATGTGAAGGGAACATATGTACCTACCTAACTGCATGCATGGTATGATTTTTTCTTGTGTTTTTACCCATGAATTAATTTCATCGACGACCAAGAGAAAGAGAGAGGTTGCTACCCCCTTTTGCTCCAGTTCCTTGCCGACCTATTAATTTTTTAAGTCGCATAATATCAGAAGGCCAGAAACTAAGATTTAATCGATCTTAAGTGGCTTGTGATATTTGTTAACTTTCAAAATTTTGATTCAATTATGTATAAAATATTAGTTCTTCTGTTAGCGTTTTTATGTTAGATTATAAAATTAATTAATCTGAAAATTTTTCCCTAATTATTGCATGCGTTAGTTCATTCTTGCATGAAGCAATGCAGAGATTAATGGAATATGCTGCTGAATAGGTTAACTGTGCTTGTTCCTTTCACTGCAAAATGTCCCTACCAAACTGCATTATTGGCAAAACAATATGAGTCATGTGATTGTGACCAACAAATGAGCTATGAAGTAAATAATTCAAGCACAAGATTATGTCAATTTGCAGTCGACATACCCCTATCAAGGTTCTGGCTGGCTGAAAATGGGCATTGGTATTAATTTCCGTTTTTTAAGCTGAAAAAATGGGCAACTGTAACTCTCAGTGAAATCGAAAAACGAAGTTACACTTAGTAAAGGGTATTCAGCATGTAATGCAGATTTATTCGCAATAATGATTAAGCCCGAATAAGAAGAGATTACGAGCTATTTCTATTTGTATATTCTCGTGTGTATCTCTCTAAAATTACATAATGAGAAAATTAAACACAGAAAGATATATAATTAGTTGCGAGATATATATTATTTCCAAAATAAGATTGACGCTTTCGCTTTGTTTTGTTTTGTTTTTTTTTTTTTTGTTAATTGGAAATGCATTATCCGGACAAAGATGCCAAAAGGTTACATGAAGGCCTACAATAAGGCAAACAAATAGAAGAAAATACTAAAGAAGAGTAGTGCAAGAAGGTACAAGGAAACCATGATGCCGCATCTAATGCTAAAGTCTCACACTACACTAAAGAAGAGTAGTGCAAGAAGGTACAAGGAAACCATGATGCCGCATCTAATGCTAAAGTCTCACACTACCAAAAATATTTAAGGAGGGCATGGAAGTCCATTGTTGTACAAAACATGAACCAGGGAAGATGGGGGGTCCATCAACCCAAATATAATCACACTTACATTGCAGCGAAGCCAAATGGTCCGCAGCCGATTTGGCCAGTCTTGGGACCCAAGACCAGCGGCATGTTCTTGCCATGTTTAATGAGCAATTATTGGATTAAAAAGGTAACTACAGCCGTAATGATTATACCAATGAAAAGAGAATGTCTTAAACTAATCATGATTAACGAGGATCAATTATCAGTTGGGACGTAGGGATATTTCCGAATCATACTACTATTAGTCTATTACCTAAAGTTAAGAACTTTATGGATGATAGAGGCCGAAAGCAAAGAACAGTAAAAGGCTATCTAGAAGTACCTGTCGAAAAATAATGGAGTAGTACTAGCCAACTAGGCCAGGCTTCACAAGGGGCGGATTGATTTTAAATTCCTTTTAAAAAAGGAATTGTTACAGGCATTTTAAAAATTTTAATTTGTATTTCTTATAAGTGTATTTTTTTTTAAATATAAAAAATTTGAAATGTTAAATAGAAATTTTGAAGTGCTAATAGCAATTTTCTTAAAAAAAAAAAAAGAATTAATCATCACATGTGCAATTTGATTTACGAGAAAAAGTTTGATCCCTAAGATTGAGGAGGACCTCCTCTTTAAGGTGTTTTGTTCATGATTTACGAAACTCTGTGTTTAAGATTGGAATCGTCCATATAATAAATTACTTTGCAAATATCATCTCTGCAAAATATAAAAAATAAATAAAGTTTAAAATAAGGTCGTTTAATCAATCAATTGTAACAAATAAATAAATAGTTCGAAATGCTTTTAATCGTATCCGACCCTTTGTTTTTAAAGAGTTCGATGGCTAAACAATCTCAATTTTATTGGTTTTTTTGGCAGATATAATCTTTATGGTATATTTTATAATATAAACGATTCTGATCATAAGTATGATATTCTATAAATTTGTAACAAAGCAATCCCTTGTCTTTTCAGGAGCCAAGTTAATTAATTCCTTGACATATTGCATGGTAGAAGGGATTTAGGTTTGGGAGCTTAAGAACTGAATAATAATAGGGTTTTAAAGTATTGATCATCTATCCATAAATAGCAGTTTTGATCAATCTATGTTTAACACTACAAACTTTGAAAGCGGTATAAATTTTTTTTATTCATACACGCTTTTACTGAAAGCTCTTTTATTAAAAACACGTCAAACCCAATATGAAAGCACTACGAGCTTCTTCAATGTGCTTACAACTCATAAAGAGCTTTAGTTTTTTTAGTCAAATCTTGTCAAAAATACTTTTAATTATCCAAAAAATTTAGTCATTCGAAAAACATCTTCAAACAGGCATGCATCATATCGTTTTAACATAAAAAATAACAATAGCTCAAACATTAAAGAATTTTTAAGTGAACTGAGAAAGAATTGCATGCTTTTCATTTTTTGGAAAACTAATAAAAATGATTTGAAAATTTTGAGTTTTAACGATAAAGACAAAATAAAAGGTAAAGCGAATAGTACCAGGATTGACTTTTTATTATAAAAATATGGTTTTTTTGTTAAAATGAACAGTACTAAGAATTTTTCATTAAGGTTCCTTTATTTTTCTCTTATGTTCGACATGTACAAGTATTAGATATGAGTTGGATTAGGAACATGCCAGCTACCAGCTATGGCTGAACTGAACAGAACCATATTCTTAATCAGATTTCTTAGAAGCTTTTTGCAATTGCATGTGTCTTCTCTATCACAACGAAGACACGCAAAAAATGAACAGCTAGGGTTTCATGGCCCGAGCAAACCCACATTCACTTGTCTGAAATCCTTCAGTTTTGTATCAATGTTGAACCAGAATGACCAAAAGTCACAAGATCTTAATTTTGTGGGTCTATGAGTCCAATCCTCTATCCACCATCATCAATCTCACTCTCTCCACATCCTCCAACATACCCACATTGCCATAAATCTTCATCAAAAGCTTGAAATTATACTCGTTATCTGGCTTCAGATCAAAAAGCTTCTCTGCAGCAACCTCCCCGATATCAACATTGCCATAAAGGTAGCAAGCATACAGCAATGCACCCCATACCGTTGGACCAGCCTCGAACTCCATTCCATCTGTTATGATCCCATAAGCTTCTTTGATCCGACCTGACCTTCCGTAAAGATTCACCATGCAAGCATAATGCTCCATAATTGGACTAATTCTGTATCTATTTTTCATGACAGAATATAGCCTCTGGCCGTCCTTCACCAAACGTAAATTAGCGCAA